AGCAAATTAACCCAAAGGAACTCTTCCTTTTACAATATTGTGGTTTATGGCTATTCTTTCAGCTGCACTGAGAGCACAAACCCAACCTGCAATCGCATTTTATTTTGCACCCGAGAGCCATCCTGTGGACAGCACCATGATTGCAACATCCTAGGCCCGGCTTTACTGCAGTCAGTATTCCTGTGTGTGTACCTTTAAGCTGCATGTTGTCTTATGGTAACCCCACAAAATTCATGAAGTTTTGTTAGGCAAAAATAATCAAAGGTGATTTTGCCAATTACTTTCTGTACCTTCTATACATTGTCATTTTCCCATCCAAGTAATACCTGGAGCTGAACCTAGTTAACTTCCAAGATGAGACAAGATCCAATGTTTTTAATGGTATTTGAGCAAAGTTAGCATTTCTGCAGCCATGTTACCCCTGTATTCATGTAATCTCCTGTGTTGTTTTTAAACATACTCTCCTCTTTCAAAGAAAGATACAGAATGGAGGATGCCTGGCTTATTAGCAGTACCTGTGAAAAAGATTGTGGAGTTCTCATAGACAAATTAAACATGAGCCAACAATGTCACATGGCTGCTAAAAAAGCCAATGGGATTTTGGCCTGCATAAATAAGTCAAGCCCCATCCTTCTCCTCTTTTCTTAAGAGCTTGAAGACTTGGTGTTTTCACCAGGCCTTCGAGAATGATTAGTACGAGCTCCAGTCTCCTGGCCACTAGTTAGAATCTGGCCCTTTACCCCTACCTATTACCCTGGTCAGTTCTTCAATTGGCTCAGGAAATGAGCATCTACAGGACCCATTGCTACTACTGTTGAGTCTGATTACTGCACTTTACCCATTTCCTTGGCCCCCTATGGCTTACTTTGCACTACCTCTGGCCCAACCATCCCAAACTGCCTAGGTCCTTTCTGAAAGTCCAGCCCTAATAGTTAATCCTGACACGAAGAATAAGGTCAATTGGTTTTACTGTACATATGTTGTTTGACTGTTTTATGCTTATGCATTGTTCTGTTTTTGCTTACTCTGTATGGTATTGTGTTTTTTGAAACCACCCTGAGTCTCCCAGGGGAGATAGAGCAGTATATACATAAAGTATTATTGTGGTTGCTGTTGTTATTATTAATGCTACCCCTCTATTCTGCCTTGGTCAGACCACACCTAGAATACTGTGTCTAATTCTGGGCACCACAGTTGAAGGGAGATGATGACAAGCTGGAATGTGTCCAGGGGAGGGCAACTAAAATGATCAAGGGTCTGGAGAACGAGCCCTATGTGGAGCGGCTTGAAGAGCTGGGCATGTTTAGCCTGCAGAAGAGAAGGCTGAGAGGAGACTTGGTGGCCATGTATAAATATGTGAGGGGAAGCCATTGGGAGAAGAGAGAAAGCTTGTTTACTGCTGCCCTGGAAACTAGGACGCGGAACAATGGCCTCAGACTACAGGAAATAAGATTCCTCCTGAACATGAGGAAGGAACTTCCTGACTGTGAGAACTGTTCAGCGGTGGAACTTTCTGCCTCAGTGTGGTGAAGGCTCCTTCTTGGAAGCTTTTAAACAAAGGCTGGATAGCAATCTGTCAGGGGTGCTTTGGATGAGATTTTCCCACTTCTTGGCAGGGGGTTGGACTGGATGGCCCACAAGGTCTCTTCCAACTCTATGATCGCCCGTGAATATGAGGTTTGTACTGTACTAAAAAAAGTTCAGCATGTTTGTACTGTCATTGAGGAAGGAAAGGAGAAAATGTCACTGACAATGAAAGGCTTACAGGAGAGTTTTTAGATTACAGGCAATCGATATAAAAAAATAGTGGCAAGCTTAGAAAGATTGTGTTTTGGAGAAGGTGATTTCAAATTGCTGTCACCAAAACTACTCCAGCAAAGCAGCTTTGCTAAAGGAGAAGACTTCACAGCAGATGGTCATTGAACATTTGTATCTCTTTCAGTGACCACAGATATGGGAAAGCTCATTCAACAATCCCTCTACATCTTCCAAAGAAGAGTTATAGTACCAACCCGTTTATGCATTCCCTGTCTTTGGTCCATTTCTCTTTAGGGAAGCAATTAAAAGACCAAATGTTAGACCTTTACAATATATTTTGATTGGTCCTCTTGGTGTAGTTTCTCTATAGAAAATGCTCAATTAAATCTTTAAAAAGGACAGCTGGATACTCACCTGAAATTTTAAAGAAGCACCTGAAATGTTGTTTATTGCTTTAACATAATAAAAAACTGGTACTCGTTACAGCCATTGTCAAACAATTCCCATCATCAAATCTCTATACAGAATGTCAGTGTTTTCTTCTTTAAATCAGACATTTTATACTTTTCTATACTTTGAGCTGAGCCTTTAGTATAACAATTCACCAAACACCAAGGAAGAGTTACAGAGGTGGAAACAGATTTTGTATTAATACCTTGGGTCAAAATCAAATTGGCATATGTATGTGTGTGATGTAATTCATTGTACTTTAATGGAAGTCTTCTGCTACATGATGGGCAAAAGTGCTAAATCAAGTGAAATCACATAAAACCAGGTAAACATCTGGAACCCACATCAAACCTAACTCTTGGGAGACACTGACCCAAAGCAGTAGAAATACGAAGATTGTGCTTTTCTTATGGTTTGCTTCAAGCAAAACATTATTACAGAAAAAGCCTGGAAGTCTTTGGTTAGTGCCATTGACAGTAGAGGAAGCAGAGGGCTAGGGATCGGATCTCTGTATCCCAGCATGACAGCGAATACTGAGGACCTTTATACTCCTTGTTCCAATAGGACTAATAAAATAGGTATGAAGTTGCAAATTCTCACGTTTGCCAGGAAAAAAAAACATAATTGCAGAACTGCTTGCAGTTGTAAACTCTGAGCTTTTCTAGTGTGCGTGTGCATATATGTCCATGTGTATGCATGTAGCACCTTTCAAGTTTTGATACCAGTGTGTAGCAGAGACCATTCTAAGAAGGTTTGTGATAAGTAAAGCCAAAGCCTGGACATTAAGTCTAATTGTGTCCAACTGTGGGGAGTGGTGCTCATCTCCATTTCTAAGCAGAAGAGCCAGCTTTGTCAGCAGACACCTCCAAGGTCATGTGGCAGCACGACTGCATGGAGCAGTCGTGCTGTATAGGTTACCTTCCTGCCGAAGTGGTACCTATTGATCTACTCACATTTGCATGTTTTCAAACTGCTAGGTTGGCAGAAGCTGAGGCTAACAAAAGGAGCTCACCCTGCTCCCCGGATTTGAACCACTGACCTTTTGGTCAGCAAGTTCAGCAGGTCAGTGGTTTAACCCGCTGCGCCACCGGGGACTCCAGGTTTGTGATGGTGATAAGGTATTCCCTTTCTCAATAACTTTTTTGTCTTTAGGGACACAACTATTACGGTTGTATTAGTTCACAGCTGAACTGATGAATTTAGGCCATTGAACATTACTAACTGGGCTACTGAAAGATCTAGCTGTAACAACTTTGTCAATCCAGGGCCCTCTCCATGTGTTCACTGCAACCATCATTGTGTCAATCAGCATAACATTTCGGTCTGGATTATGGTAATCATGAATTGGTACATCTGGGTAGTCCTGAAGAAACCCAGCATGGGGCACAAAAACTGAACAAGCAGTTTTCCTCTCTTTTATATTTTATTGCAAGCAGTACTGAAAATGTATTTCCCTTGTTGTTTATTGGTGTGTCGGAATCAACGGCCAAGACAGTATTTTAAAGTCATGGACTAATTCTGAGTAGAAATTATTATTAACTGAAGCCCAAGGGTTCTCTCTCACATTTTCTCTTTGAAGTTATCTGTCCAACAGTGTTCCCTCACCTATAGCGGGGGTTCCATTCCAGGAACCCCCGCGATAAGTGAAAAACCATGAAGTAGGGACGCTATACTGTATATGTACAGTATAGCTCCATCCACTCCTCTCTCCCCCTCCTCTCTCTCTTCCTCTCCTCTTTCCCCCTCCTTTCTTCCCTCCCCCCCCCCTTGGTGGAGCCACCCTTCTCCCTCCCTCCTTGCTACCCCACTGGCATGGGGCTCTCACCCGATGTTCCATCACTACTTGTATTTTAAATTATTTTTTTTTTAAAAAGCCACAAAACAGAGAGTCTGCAGTTAGCGAACTGCAAAACGGCGAGGGAACACTGTATTTTGCTACAAAAAAATGTCATTCGAAGAAAGTCACTAATGGGAGAGATGTTGTAGTGGTGTAACGTTAGATGTGGGTTTGCCACCACAGCATAAAGCATTAAAATCAGAGAATGCTTGTGCTAATGCTGGGATTTTAATAAAGATGAAAATTTAAGGAGATATCACTTCCGTTCTCTAACTTACAAAGGGTATGATCCCCCATGAAGTTGTCCTGCTTTTGCTCCACTGAAGTGAAGAAGAACCCAGTGAGAGCAAGGCTGAAAAACAAAAATGTAAAACCTTGACACAAAAAGATTAGGAAGACAAAATATTCAACTTCTGCTCTGCAACGAAAAAGAAAAGAAAAAACTTGAAGCATTTCCCCACAATTTTAATTATCACAAATGTGTAGTTTTAATTTGATTTCAGACTTAAATAATAATAAATAGGTGGGAAGAAAGAATGCAAGACCTGGAAAAAAAACAACATGAGCTTTGAATTTATCTCATGAAAGCAAATGAAAAATCCCCACAGGAATAATGTTCACAACCATAAGCCAAAACCCTTCATACTAATCTTAAACACAGCAGTGAATTGCAAAACCTGCATTTACTGGTTGACTAGTCAATTATTTTCAAGTGTTTCCACCTTGGCCATTTCAATTTTAGCACCAAAATTAGCCTCAACAGAGGGACTGGTACAGCTTCGATGCTATAAATGAATTGTTTACATATAATACTTTTTTATATTATAATTATACACACATACTGTACATTCACACATCCACACAAACAGGAGGAATATTCAAATGTATATATTGTGTGTTTCAGATTGTTCGCCAAGACTCAAGAGCACTGTAAATAAAGCAGAAGGAAATAATATTTTACATAGTAGGCAACTTTAATGCTGTAGTGCACTTATAAAAAAAAGTCCAACTCTCCCTTCCCAGCTCAGCAGCTTGTCTCAACTGTTTTGTTTGCTTTAATATCATGATTCAGAAGATGCAGAAGTTATTGCCCTAAATATTATTCTATACATTTTCATTGATGTTCTCAAAAAAAAAAAAAAACCCACTTGAAATTGCTACTTTAAATTTACAAACTTGATTGCTCTTCTCATTACAGCTTTAATTCGTTGGCAATTTTGGAAGCAATGTTTTTAAATGCTATGGATGTTCCCGATATCCGTTTAAAGCGGACTCCGTTCAGCGACAGTCTTGGCAGCTTACACACTTCCATCTCCCATTGCACCAGGTTTTCTGCATGACCGTCCCCATGGACACAGAAAAGCAAGAAGCGCTCCCTCTGTTCATAATCACAGTTGTTGGCATCCAGGACCTTACGGATTTCCCTCATCATGTCGTTTGGATCCATGGAGCTGGTAGTTTTCATGCTCCAAGTGAATCGTAGTGAACGGGGCTTGGCTTCTTTGTTGTCATCCTTCTGATCAACAGAAACGTTACGACTGGAAGAAAACCAAGTTTTAGTATGCAACAGATGAATCGCATTTTTTAAAAAGTTATGTTAGTAAAAGCGACAATCTTTGCAACATGCATTGTTAAAACATAGAGAGTCTCTGTGTCCATTACCAATTCCAGCTGTGATTAAAAGCTCCTGTCAGCTCTTAGAGATGTCTGAATTAGAGGAACTAAAGGTTATATGCAAATGAGTCACACAACTCCAAGGATCAATTCTCTCCTCCCAGCCCAAGAAAGTGGCTTTGAGTTGCAGAATGGACTGGAAGGAGTGGAGATGCCTAAACATCTTCTCATCTATTACTACAGTCTATTTTATTATCATTCTTATTAACAAGCGTTACATAGTCAGGGGATAATTGAGGAAAAATATGTTTACATATCCTCATTGTAATTTTAACTTTAAAAACTACAGGCAGTCCTCAAGTTACAAACAAGATAGGGTCTGTAGGTTTGTTCTTAAGTTAAATTTATTTGTAAGTCTGAACAGTCCCAGTAAAACGTGTATTTTTTTGCAATTTGGCCAAAAAGTGCACAATATAGTTTCTATGTGATTTGAATCCCGTTTTTAAAGAACACTAAAGTTTCCAAACAATGGAAAGGAAAACCAAAGAAACAGATAACTCTTTCCTCAAGGAGCTTCTCCTGTTTATGTAGTTATGCTGTGGAATGAATGCAGTCTGACACCATTTTAACTGCCCTGGTTCATTACTATGGGATTCTCAGACCTGTATTTTACAAGGCCTTTGGCCTTCTCTGCCAAAGAATGCTGCTGCCTTACCAAACTACACATCCCGGCATTGCATAGCGTTGAGCCAGGGCAACTAAAAGTAGTGTCAGACATGAAGGAAAGAGGAGAGATGAAGGAGGAATTGACAGGGAAAAAAAGAAATGGGGATGCAGAAATCGATAGGAAAAAAAGGGGGTGGGAGAGGTTTGGAGAGATCCATAGAGGGAAAAAAGAGAAAGAAGTTTGGAGAGATCCATAGGAAGAAAGAAGCATGAAGAGATATCAATAGGAAGATTTCATGGCAAGGAGGGAGAGGAGAGGCCAGTTCATAACGATGAGTTGTTCATAATTCAAATGTTCATAATTTAGGGGCTGCCTGTATCTCCCTTTCTGACAGAAAATTGGTGCTAATTACATTAGTGTAACAAGAGCAAACTCTATTTGCATGATCTAAGTGAGCGCAAAATGCCATACTATGCAGGGTCAGAGTATTCCTTTTGTGAAATTACAATGGGCAAATAGGTTGTCCTCCCTCTGCTCTAATGGAAGAGGCACGTAGAAGCAAATAGAACTCATGGGGTGCAATGTGTGGTAGGAGGAGAAACTAATGGTGCATACTTCACTAAATCATCTCCTTGGTACTCCAGGGTGCTGGCGGCAATGAAGCAAGTGAAACGGAGGCTAGAGCAGTGTTGGCATAGATCTCACAGCAAATCTGACCAAGCACGGTCTAGAGCTCATTTAAAAGCCTAGTCTGTGGAAATGAAGGCAGCAGAAAAATGGTTTATTGCTGCCAACATTGCATCTGCAAAGAACCTCCCAAGAGAGCTGTTTTGAGTGGTCAGAGGACTGTAAAACCCTGCCCAGCCAAGGCAATCGGCAGCTCATTGCAAGGAGTTCTTTGCAGGTAAGGTTGCTCAGATCTGTTCTGACTTAGACACCAGTGTTAATGCAGTCTCAATGGATGTAACTGAGGGATCTGCTTGTCATTGTTCTATGGATTCTCTTCAACTTACTTTGCATGAAGATGTGGACAACATCTTGGGAGGAATGAAGGTGACCACCTGTTCTCTGGACCCTTGCTCATCCTGTCTAATTAAATCGGCCAGCCGGGGGGGGGGGGGGGGGGGGGGGGGGGGACGGGGACTGGCAGAGTGAGTGAAGGTGCTGGTGAATGCCTCCCTGACCCAAAGCATAATGCCAATTAGTTTCAGGGAGGTAGTATCAAGACCTCTATTAAAGAAACCAGCACTGGATTCCACTTAACTGAACTACTATCGGCCATGATCAAATCCCCTCTTTCTGGGCAAGGTTCTAGAGGTGGTGTTTCTTAGAGGAAACCGATTTGATCTATCTGGTTTCAGGCCTGGCTATGGAACAGAGATGGCATTGGTCGCCTTGGTGGATGCTCTACGAAGAGGGGAGTGTGTCCCTGTTGGTTCTCCTGGACCTCTCAGCGGCGTTCAATATAATCAACCATGGTATGTATCCTTCTGGATTGGGAGGTACTGTTTAACAGTGGTTCCAATCCTTCCTGGAGGGTCAGAACCTAGATGGTGGTGCTAGAGAACTCCTGTTTGACCCCGTGACCTGTGGGGTCCCTCAAGGCTCCATTCTGTCCCCCATGCTATTTAATATCTATATGAAACCGCTGGGAGAGATCATCTGAGTTCTGCAGTTTGGTGTCAAATTTATGCTAATGATACCCAACACTCTGTTCTACCCAAAGCCAAGGATGACGTCCTGCCCTAAACTGGTGCCCATCATCAGTAATGAACTCGATGAGGGCTAAGTAAATCCAGACTCCTGGTCAGTGGGAAGGTGGATCAGGGTGTGGGGTTACAGCCTATGTTGGATAGGGTCACACTCCCCTGAAGACACAGATTCGCAGTCTAGGGTGCTCTTGGACCCCAGGTATCGGTAGTGGCCAGGACAGCATTTGCACAACTAAAACTTGTGTGCCAGCTGCACCCATAGCTTGAGATGCTAGATCTGGCCATTGTAGTCCACATTCCATCTGGACTGCTGCAGCGCTCTCTACGTGAGGCTCCCTTTGAAGAGAGTTCGGAAGTTGCAACTGGTTCAGAGATCAGCAGCCAGGTTACAAACTGGAGCGTGGTACAGGGAGAGAACTACTCCCATGTTACGGCAGCTCCGCTAGCTGCCGGTCCGCTTCCAGGCTAAATACAAAGTGCTGGTTATTACCTATAAAGCTCTAAACAGTTTGGGCCCAGACTATCTGAAAAACCATATCTCTGTATATAAACCAACATGAACGCTTAGATCTGCAGAAGATGCCTGCTCTCTGTCCCACCCCCATCTCAAGTACAGTTGATGGGAATAAGAGAGGGGGCCTCCTCCATGACCGCCTCCTGCCTCTAGAACTCCCTCCGCAAAGAAATAACAACGGCCCCCTCTCTCCTCTCCTTTAAAAAACTTCCAAAAACCCATCTATGTGCTCTAGCTTATGGAGAAGAGGACGACTAGAACATCTTAATATACAACCTCGCTTGGATACTGGAAACCTTGCTTGGTTGGCTGCTGGAAACATTCTATACTTTTAATTCATTTTAGTTGTTTAGATGTTATTATGTTGTAAATGTGTTTGATGAGATTCATTATGTTTATTTTAGCACTTATAATTTGGCTCATTATTATAAGTTTATATTGATGTTGTTTTACTTATTGTATTAATTTGGTGTGCCTGACTGATAGTTTTTTATTATGGCATTGAATATTTGTCACTTTTTCTTTGGAAACTGCCCTGAGTTTCCCTGGGGCGTTAGGGCAGGTAAGAAATAAAGTTTATTTATATTATTTATTTATATTATTATATAATACATAATTTCCTAATGCCTCGCCCCACCATAACAGCAGGATCCAAAGGTTAACACAGTAGCAAATAAACCTCCTTGTCTATCATGAATTATTGTATTTATGGAAGCTAATATGGCAAACTCCAAATGTAGAACTGAAATGACTCTAGAATTGCAAATTCAAAATGAAGAATTCCATAAGTTTCCAGCTATGAGTTAAGTATCTGCAACAGTCCAGTAATTGCACCACTAAAATCCACAAAGGTGTGGTATCCTTATTGGTCAATCAAAATGCACAAAACACACGATACATCATATGTTTTGTGCATTTTGCTTGACCACTAAAGGTATCACTCTTTTTGTATTTTATTTTGGTACATGTCCAACATGAATATATTAATTGCTGAAATCACTAGGAGGTGAGATGGGTGGGGTAGAAATATAGGAAATAAATAAAGTCTTCCAAAAAAGTAACTGGGGACCTCTTTGTTCTCTAACTTTGCCTATTGCTCAGACATTCAAACCTACACAGCGGAAGATTTAAAACTGCTTACATTTCTAAGTAGTGAGAACTATGTATAAAATTGCCAGATAAAGTTTTACACATTGAAGTAGAAGTACAAGGTTAACAAAACATTTATTTGAATTTTGCTAAACAGACAAAATCAAATAACAATCAAGACAAAAAGACCAATTACTTTCAACTAATGATCAGAACTGGCACAATGAAGCACTATGACTGCGATTCAGTGAGTAAGGCAAGTGCAGCCTTTGGAACGTGTTGCACTTGTTGTTCTCTGGACCGCAGCCAATAGTAAACATAGGAGGGGAAAACCCAGATCCCCATCCCTTGAAGGCCTGAAACAAAGTCACAGACATTTCTAGAATTTCACATTCACTATTAATTGGTGTATCTCTTCTTTGAAAACAAGCAGTTTCCAAACTTTCTCTTTCTCTTGGAGAGAAAAAAAAAGGTTATGCGATAGAATTTAGCTTTCTCAATGAAACCAGACATCTATAGCTTCAAAAACCTTCCAGAAGAGGAGCTGTATTTAATTTAGAAATCCAATTATTATTTTTTATGTCATATGACAGTGAAATCCTAGAATTCTGTGCCAAATGAGCTCACCACTCACAAAACCAAGATCCTCTTACTGACATTTCTGTGATTAAATCAGTTAAATGAAATGGGGGCCTATGTTGCAGCGGGGCAGATAATGGAAAACAAAGATGTTATTTCCCTTAAATTGAAATCTGGGAGAGTTAATGCATATATTTTTTTTCACATTTGGCAAAGGAATTGTGTTCCTTTATGATTTCTGATTAAATAGTGAAGGCTTAAATAGTAGTCCAGGAATCTCTCAGCAACAAAATATTATTATATTTTCCCAGTGATCCAAACTGTGTGTATGTATGCTTGAGTAGTCAAAGTCATATAACCGACCTAAGTTAATCACTGCTTTGTAGATAAGAGGTATTCTTGGTTTTATGTATTTGCTAAGCTAAGAACACCGTCACCAGTGTGCTACGGCCTATGCATTAATCTACTCAATCTACAGTTAACATTTGAAACAAAAAATAATTGCCCTCACCTTGAGCCCTCATATCTCCCGTTCCTCTCATATTCAGTCGGGAGCCTCAATGAAAACAATGCCGAAGCACAAAGAAAAGCAGGGAAGAAAAGACAAATCTTACACTAGCACGATTAAGGTTGGCAGCACACTGCACAGTGACATCTCACTCAATATTAATTGCAATTAAGTGTTGGGTTTAAACATGGAGATGATAGGTAGATTGAAGACGTTCAACATGCCTTTGCCCAAATAAAATATATTTGGAAGCCTCAAATGCTTATGGTAAGGACATTGTAAGGATATGTAGATATTCAAGAACAAGAAAGCTATGTGTGATCCTCCAGAGTACTCTATTGACAAAGAATTTGCTGCAGGGGAGCTCATTAAGAACTGGATTCCTCATATAAGGCATACACTGAAACTGAAAATCACTTTAAGATGACACTTATTTAAAGTTTGTGCTGTAATTTTTCCAGGCTTTCATCTCTCCTTCAATATATATATATATATATATATTGAATCTCATGATAAGCAAATGTTATCCACAGCCTCCCAGATATTAAGAGGTAGCCATTATTATATAATTCCAGTCACTCATAGTCCCTTACTTTCACCTGTCATGGATAAACATTCTAAAAGAAAAAAGAACAGTGTAAGAAAGATGCACTTCAGCTATTGCAAGGAGGGGTGAAAAAACAATTGGGAAACAAAATGGGTATTAAGAAACAGCATTCATTTTGCAATGAATAATTAAAAAACACCATGTTCATGAAAACCCCAACATATTCCAAATCTCCAAAAATAAAAACTAGTCAACAGAACAGAGGAATCCTCTCGCTTCACTAGTAGGTCAGTGCCATCTCATGATTTTGATTTGTTGAGAAAAGTGAAACCAAAAGCACTTTGGGAACACATATGCTTTATAAAGAATATTAAAGTTTGCTGCCAGTCTAGTGGCCTTTTGCAGAATATGAACTATTGATTAACTCAGAGTACACAAGTAAAATTATGCACTCTCTTTTGGACAGAGACAGGCACAGGAAGCAAACTATAAAGTCTTGCAATGTTTCTATGTCAAATTCTGAAGTATACCATAACTTTGTGAGAAGTATGCCACTTCTCTTTGCAGTTCTTTGTTCTTTTCCCTATGCAGCAGTGTGTTCCAAACCTGCAGAGCATTCTGTCTCACTATGAGATGCTGATCTTCAAGAGAATGTAAGGACTGATATTGCACAGCAAGAATATTTATCAGTGCAATTAAATACATACTAAATATCCACATAGCATTGAAGTACTCAACACTAATGGAATGACGCAACACAGGCTAAACTTCTTTGACTTCTTGACATATTGTTACCATATTGTACTAAGGTAACAGCTTAGTACATCCAGGAGAAACTAAAAGAAGCACCAATCTCATCTACTCTCTCTGCTGTGGCACTGCTTCTGGATGGAGAAATTGAAGTGAAAGCCAAAGGCAACTAGCTTCCTGAGTCATTGGTGCTTTCCTCTGTTCAAGTTATCCATTGGTCCTATCAAAATACACACCTGGCTACAAAACCTGCCCTTGACTTATGAAGTCACCTTATACATGAGTATATAGTATAGTATTTCGATCAAACATTAGATATAACAGGAGATAGGTCAGGTTTACTGTGAATGTTACAAATTCACAACACAAAGTAGGCATTATCTGCAGAAAATGCATGAATGTACTAATATCTGATAGGCTGCAAAATAAACTTAAATCAATAATGTGATGCAGCAGACAAAAAAAAAAAGGAATCTGAAACATATCTAGAGGAGAATGACCAAGGTGGTAAAAGATCTGAGAAATGCGCCTTTGGGAATTGGGCATATTCGCCTTTGCAAAGGCTGAAATTTTGAAACGATAAAGATAAAGGTTTAAATCTAGTTGAGTCTGACTCTGGAGGGTGGTGCTCATCTCCATTTATAAGCTGAAGAGCTGGCATAGTCCATAGACGCCTCCTAGGTTGTGTGGCCAGCATGACTGCATGGTGTGCTGTTAACTTCCCGCATAAACGATACTGATTGATCTACTCAGATTTGCATGTTTTTGAACTGCTAGGTTGGCAGAAGCTGGGGCTAACAACGGGAGCTCTCCCCTGTCCCGTGGATTCAAACTGCTGACCTTCCGTTCACCAAGTTCTGCAGCTTAGCAGTTTAACCTGCTGAGCAATCTCAGCTATAAATAAATACCTGAAGGGATGTCATTTAGAAAATGGAGAAAGCTTGCTTTCTACTAATAGATTAAAATACAAGGAAAGAGATTCCACCTAGACGTTAGGAAGAATCTGTTGGTTGTAAGTGCCGTTTGACAGTGGAATGGTGAGAGGTGTATTCTCTTTGTTTGAGGTCTTTGTTTAAAAGATCTGAGTGACCACCTCTCAGGAGCGCTTTAGCTACTGTATATATTCTCTTAGAGTTCCTTCCTACTCAGTGGAGCCATATTCTGAGACAGTCCAACTTTTTGCAAATTCTGCAAGAGATACATCATTGTGTCTGGATGTATCTCAAACAGGCTATGAAAGATGGAACAGGTTTTGTTTATTCAGGCATACTACGTTTCATTTTTGTATTCAACTTTTGAATAGCAGGGACATGGTTCAGTAATATTGGTAATTCAACTTCACTGCTTCTAAAGCAATGGTTTCCAACTTGGCATCGCAAGTGTTCTCTGACAACATCTCCCAAAAGCAGCCCTAGCTAGCATGGTTAATTGTCAGAGATTCTGGGAGTTGCAGTCCAAACATTCCTGTGGACCTACATTTGGAAACAGAGCCCAAAACTAACAAAAATCTGTATTAGAAATAATCTATTTTATAATCAATGGTTTTACAAGAAGACGTAAGCTACACCAGGCATGGGCAAACTTTGGCCTTCCAGGTGTTTAGGACTTCAACTCCCACAATTCCTACCACGATTCCTACCAGCCAGCTCATGCCTGGACTACACTCTTGGCTCATGAAGATTTCCATGGAAGACTTAATAATTTAATAATAACATTTTACACATTCTATTTCAACTCAGTAGATTTGTTCTGAATCTGCAACAAAAGTAAACATTACAGATTTTGCCATTTTTGCAACAACTCTAAGTCAAGACTCAAAAGATCACATTTTATTCAAAATCACATAAAGAACAATAGTGTTTTAAGTCAAATGCACCACAAACTAAACTTAGTGACCTCATCTCAGAGCCCCATGAAGTAAAAAAAGAACACTTAATATATGTAATTATATATGCATTCAAAAATACACCCATGAAGAGTTTAATGATTTATGAAAGTGGATGTGAAAGTTCTCAGAGGAGGAGAATTATATAGAAAATAGAAGTCCAAAATCCATGACAGATCACAGGTTAGAGAAAAGTAAGCATAGTGATCCCAAAGTACTATTACCCCTTAGTTGTAACTGGAGCAATTTTGTGAATGGGAGAGGGCCTAGACCAACTAATGTTAACTGAACTCAAATACAATGCCATGCATATCCATCTTAAACAGAGGACTATGCAAAAGTTGGGGTGGGGGCATTTTATTTTTCTTTATACAGTAGAGTCTTGCTTATCCAACCTTTGCTCATACAACGTTCTTTATTATCCAGTGCAATCTGCCTCCCGCCCGGATCCACAGTTGTTTCGATACATTGCGATGTTTTGGAGCTAAATTTGTAATACAGTAATTACTGCATAATGTTACCATGTAATAAAATTTTCTGTTGGTTTGTTGTAAAAAATGATGTTTTGATGCTTAATTTGTAAAATCATAACGTTATTTGATATTTAATAGGCTTTTCCTTAATCTCTCCTTATTATCAAACATTTTTGTTTATCTAACGTTTTGACGGCCCATTTATGTTGGGTAAGCAAGACTCTACTGTAGTTGTAAAAACTATGAATTCATTCTCCTTAAAATGTACTGCAACTTACTGATTTTATGAACTATAAAAAAATATAAAGCTCTACTAATGAATATCTGATCCACTCAGGCATTTAGCAATCATTTCCTAGTTGAGTACTGATTTCAGTTCTCTCTCTGTGTGTGTAGGTCCCTACTTCTAACATTACCTTTTAGAACATTTATTTCTCTGTCAAATAGCTGAGAAACATTCCATCTTCATTCCAAAACTATGAAGATAATTCTATACAAAATTGCTATCAGAAAACTAGCTTACTGTTTTATTTATCATTATCAATATTCAGTGTACTCTTTGGATGTTTTTAATGCAACAAACTTTGGTCTGGATTCCAAATATATTATTATCAATGGTAAATAAACTGACAAGGCTCTTAAGCTAAATTAAGATCAAAAAGCAAGCAGTATTACACTTTTAATTGGTATTACTAAACATATCATTCTTCAACCATTAGCATGCTAAGTGTATTAGTATAAAGAACAAAATTATTTCTGGTACTATCAAAGTAAATAGAGCGCACAGGCATGCTTTGCATCTCATTATTCAGGTGCCAGAGATTCACAAGGATTATCATTAGTCAATAATTTATTTTTTCTTATCTTGGGTATGTGAAAGGTATTTAGTTTTCGGCAGAAAGTTTAGTTTTGTTTCAATTTATATTTTAAAGGAAAAACCAAGGCTGGAAAGCCAAATTCAGGGTTAATTGCAAGAGCTGGTTCTTAGAATATAAATCACATCCTACCTTTTGATAAACCTGAATGACATGTTTCTAAAAGAAATTAAGCCAAAATAATAATTAACAAAATGTGTTGGTATGAAATAAATTGAAAATCCATTCAGCATGTGAGACACATAATGATAAAGACTAGTTCAATGAAACGTGAAAGCAACAGTTTTAAATTCACTCTGGAAATAAAGAATGGTTATTAGAATGATGTGGTTTTTGACATTTTCCTCCCCAAAAGGCTCCTAGGATTCCTTAAGTGGGTCAGCCAACCCCACCCTCCTTCCATCCAGGTGGGAATTCTGAAAAAAGGTACTTCTGTGGAGGCAAATTACACTGCAGTAATATCGGTAAGAAGTAGATATGATGTAGATGACCTGAAGGCAGCTTGGCATAAATAGATTAGACCTAAGATACTCAGATGAAGAAATATGGAAGTGGAAGAAGCTTTGCCCAACTCTTTCTCACACACATCCCTACATACAAATGATACCTATGAATAGAGGAACCATGCTGAATGGGATAGATTGTGAGATGGGTAGATTTGGAGAAAATTGGGCAATGGCATCTTGTGTACATCAGCCAATAGTGTTTTGCCAGTTTTCAATGAGTTTCTCCATCACTTCACAGAGTGGAGGCCCCAATGGTGCAATGGGATAAACCCGATGTCGGCAGGACTGCTGACCGAAAGGTCAGCGGTTTGAATCTGGGGAGTGGGGTGAGCTCCAGCTTCTCATGCAGGGACATGAAAGAAGCCTCCCACAGGATGGTAAAACATCCGGGCATCCCCTGGGCAACATCTTTGCACACAGTCAATTCTCTTACGCCAGAAGCGACTTGTAGTTTCCGAAGTCGCTCCTGACATTGATTTAGAGTGCCACTTTGGAAATGAAAAAGTAAACACTCCAGTATAACTCCGTAATGAATGTCTATCAATATGGTTCCATGCTCCATGGGACTACTGACAGAAAGGAATAACTGATTTTGCCAACAAGTTGCAGCATGTAATTATCACTCAGGAACTTCAAAGTGAACTGAAATATTGATATGGCACAATAGTGGGGAGGCCTCCAATACATCAGAGGCCTTCTAGAAAAAATACTTTTTCTATTATAGGTATTATAGGACACTACCTTATAAATATTTGATATCCCTTTGGAAACAAAAGCACCTTCTAAACTGTCAGTTGGTGGTGTCTGCATGCGCTGAAGTCCATGAACACATCCACATGGCTCTAATTTCAAATAATGTGTGTTGTGTTCAAATTTCCCATCCAGATGTATGAGATGCTGCTCTCATCCATATCACCAGATATAGGCAACAATGATAGACTTCTATGTAGTATGAAGTCCTTTGAATGCTAGATAATGATTCATATGGTATGAATATATTAGTTATTCAATGACAAAACTGGAATGGGCTGAGCAAAACCAACAGTCGATCAAAACTGGTGTACTAGTTCTGTTTTTTAAGTAGATACTTTTAAGTTGAGACTAGTCACAACAAGTAAATAAAAAGCTCACTTAGGGTCCATCTGCAAAGACCACATATCTCAGTGCTTTTTTTTCATGTCAGGAGCGACTTGAGGGGAAAAAATTATTTCAGTGCTGCTACTTGTGTGCTTAGTAGCTGTCCCTACTGTGTGGCTGTGAGACAGTCTAGCGGCACTGAAGGGTGGGCGAAAGAACTCTTGTCTGTTGGAGCTAGGTGTGAAACATTCACAGCTAGCTCCAATAGACAAGAGTTCTTTCTCCCACCCTGGACTTTCCACAGATATATAGACCTCACAACCTCTGAGGATACCTGCCACAGATGCAGGCAAAACGCCAGGAGAGAATGCTTCTAGAACCATACAGCCCAAAAAACCTAAAACAACCCTATTTATTAAAAACATAATTTTAATAAAAATACAGATCTTTGTATAACGACAAATACTGAAAAAAGGGAGCAATGTGCCTGTTGCTCATCTTGCTTGCCAAGACATAGCTAATTGCCAATGGGCAACATCAAGGGTCTTCTTCATTCTCAGGATTCTTTATCTTTGAACTTTAGATAGTCCTCTTACTTGAAAAACTATCTTCTATAAAATAAGGCACATTGACATGCTGCTCTCGGTGTAGAGCTGAACCTGAAGACAGCAATAACCTAGCCTTTGAATTGTCAAGATTCTCGAGGTTGGCCGAATATTACAATGGGAAGAGCAACTGCAAGCAGATGGGTAAGTGGAGATACTTTAATATTCTTTTCTAGTTGGGTTGGCATGCAGGATGAACACAATTATGGTGGGACGCTCTTCATGCCATCCTGAAAATTGTGTTTCTTTACGTCAATCGGCTCAGAGATCTTGCTAATGTAAATTGTTACATCTGGGAAGCTTCTGGGTGCAGCAATTCAATATGGTGATTCTGAAGGTATCAAAGGTCATAAAACATCCTTGCAAGCTGCATGTGGTCCCATGCATGGTATTATGCAAAATCAATGTTTCAGCCTCTCTCATGAAGCTGAAACAGATCTCAGATGATAAAATTCCCAATGTAAACGTCAGATCACTGGTTGATTTACACAGCATTACAACGGGCCATTGTTTCTCAGTACCCTAAATCCCCTAAAATGATAGATCATCTTAAAATATTTTCTATACCTCTAACCTCTTAATTTGAGTTAGTTTATCACTTAAATATGCAAATCAGAGTAATTTTGCAGGTTCAGATCCCACCTCATTGACCACTGAAGCAAGATGTTTAGACAGGTTGGAGAGAAAGGCTAGGCAGATGTTACAAACTTAATTCTAACACCCCTCATATTTATTTATGTATCTGCTTTCTCTATCTTGCCCTGCTGAGATGACTGGCACTTAACATTCAGCATTAGGTTAATAAGAATATCTGCACTGAGCAAATTTCTGTGATTGTTTTTTTAAAGATACATACCTTCTTGTAAGCTTTGAAGTCAATTTACTGAACAAGTTAGTGGAGCCCCTACTTCGTGTCTGTGAGAGTGGTGTTGCTTCATGCGATAGACTGGGTGATGCAGGGGGTCCATTGTAAGTGGCAGTACGCCGTTCTCTAAGTTGGCCATGGAAAGTGCTACGGCTGGCAGTTCCTCTTGGGAAGCGGATGCGGTCAGGCGTCGTTGCACTACTGATACTGTGAGTAGAAGCTACTGGCGTCCTCTGGTCGGGAATAGCGCTAGAAGAAGATCAGAGGTGAGTTAAATCCTTTGTCTGCAGAAATTCAACCCTCACCAGGCTAGAAAAATAAATTTTACAGAGTGCAATGGACCTTTACAATGCAGGACCAAAAGGGATTATAGATTACAATTTAGAGGAAGCATTATTTCAAAATATAAATTATTCATAACTTTTAAAACATAAATGCATTACAAGCAAAAAAAGAAGCAAAAAATCTGTGCATGTAGGAGAAAAGCTCACCCTAAATTGACTTCATATGGATTTTTTTTTTTTACAAAACCCTGAAAACATTAATGCAAGGAAAGGAAGATCAAATGTCCAATGTATTGTTGAAGACTTTCATGGCTGGAATCACTGGGTTGTTGTAGGTTTTTCGGGCTGTATGGCCATGTTGTAGAAGCATTCTCTCCTAACGTTTCGCCTGCATCTATGACAGGCATCCTCAGAGGTTATGAAGTGTGACCTCACAACCTCTGAGGATGCCTGCCATAGATGCAGGTGAAACGTCAGGAGGGAATGCTTCTAGAACATGGCCATACAGCCCAAAAAACCTACAACAACTCAGAGGAAATGTTACTTTTCCTTTTTAATGTGAATGTAAGAATGTATTGTCGAAGGCTTTCATGGCCGGAATCACTGGGTTGTTGTAGGTTGTTTCGGGCTATATGGATGCTTGCCATAGATGCAGGCGAAACATCAGGAGAGAATGCCTCTAGACCATGGCCATATAGCCCGAAAAAACCTACAACAACCCTGAATGTAAGAATGTTTCTTTCTTCCACTTTCTCCTCGTGATAATAATTTGTGGATATTACTGCAGAGGAAAAATAGCCATACCCCTTTAAAGAAAGGCAATCATTTAAAAATATTAAGGAATATCACAATACATGGCAGAGTGGTAGTGGTACTGATGCAGTACTAAAGAAGCAAGGTATACTCAAAATTTTTATTAAAAAGGGATCACATCACAGAAAATCTGGACTATGAGACAAATATGAACAACATGACTAAAAGCAGAATGCACCTCCATAGATAACCTCTAGCATTCTCTAGGACTAAAAGTTTCATGGCACAGAGCTAAGCAGCAGCAGATACCTATTAGCTTCATAATAAACGCCAGCATGTCTTACATAGACCTGAGGTTATCTGTGCCATTGATTAATGAAGGTAACATCATCTTCGCATGCATAGAGGCTGACATCGACATAGACTTCTGAGGTCGCAGCCGAACACAGGTGGAGGACGTGGCATAAAGCGTATCAGGGCTAGCTGCATAAACGAACGTTTCAGTCAGGCTGCGAGAGGGTCGGGTTTAGGCAGAGGCAGAAAGAATAATATGATGGACCAATGACAAACTTGAGGGTTACTGTGTAGAAAAAAAAACAAATACCTTTCTTCCCATAAAAACCATCCATTATGGCTAAACAGTCCTCCAGAAGTAATTCCATCAGAGGCTACAGGCAGTACAGACATATTCATCTTGCTAGACACAGATTTTGAGTTCTCTTGTGATGAACTACATCATTAGTTTGTCTGGTGCTGTGGATTCTGACCGACAGAGATTCTTTAAGGTCTCTCTCAGACAGAAACTGGCCCAGCTAGAGATGCCAGTAAAATAGTAATACTGAGTACAGAGAAGCAGAGAATGCACAACTCAAGAGATTCACAAAAGTAACACTAAACTATGTTCAGCATTACATAGAAATTCATTCTTCCCACCATCATGCAAGACAAATTTCTGCAACTACTACATAATTACCAATACTGCAAGTGCCTCCACACAAAGAAAGCTCTCTCTCAAAATTTAACACACTTTTACTCTGGCAGACCCTTAATTGTATTTAATCTATACTTCTGCATACATACTACAGTAAGTATGCCTAGCTAAAGAAGTGATAATGTATTGTCGAAGGCTTTCATGGCCGGAATCACTGGGTTGCTGTAGGTTTTTTTGGGCTATATGGCCATGGCCCAGAGGCATTCTCTCCTGACGTTTCACCTGCATCTACGGCAAGCATCCTCAGAGGTAGTGAGGATGCTTGCCATAGATGCAGGCAAAACGTCAGGAGAGAATGCCTCTAGACCATGGCCATATAGCCCAAAAAAACCTACAACAACCTAAAGAAGTGATACTTGCGTGCCATGTTAAGCTCTGTAACAGTATAGAGGAGAATTCTCCACCTATCTATCCTGTCATCTTGACAATCTACATTATTTTATTGTCATATCGCAAATAGAGAGGGAGGGAGACTGTTGAAAAGGCAGTTTGTAAGGTTCTTCACCTCATGCGAAGATCATAACCAGGACTTTTAGGGTTTATGGTTTAGCTGGTGACACTACACCATAGCACGCATTTTACAATTGAGAATTATCCTGCATGACAGAAGTTTTAAGACTATGCCTCAATACTATAAATGAATATGGCTCTCAAGATCAATAAGGCCTGAGTATCTCTTATCTGGAATTCCAAAATGTTCCAAAACACAAAAATGCCTATGGGGTGGTTGAAACAGTGACACCTTTTGTTTTCTCGTAGCTCAATGTACAAAATATTTGTTTCAGACATAAAAATTTTAAAATATTGATAAAATTACCTATAGATTATGTGTATAAGGTATGTATGAAACATACATTAATTTTGTGTTTAGACTTGGGTCCCATTTCCCAAGATATTCCCATATATACATCTATGCAAATACAGGTATACCAAAACCATTATGATCATCATCACAACAACAGCAGCAACTTTAATAAATCTGAAATCCCAGATACTCCTGGCACAAGCTTTTGAATAAGGAGTGCTTAATCTGTACCACGATTCGAACGTTGTGGTTCAGGGTAAGATTTTCTAAACATCTCCTCTTAGGTTTTTAGGTGATCGTTCAGAGGACCTCCTCTGGATCCCAATGACAAAAGAAGCTGGAAGGGCAACAAGACATAGTAGAGCCTTTTAAGCTGCATGCCCCGTTTATTGAATACCCCCTCTAGGACATTATAAAATGCCTACACCACTAATTTTCAGTGGTGGGTGAACATCCTCTCTTCTGGCAGGCATTTGATATTTATTATTGTGGCTGTTGAGGTACAGATTTTTTTCCTCCATTTATAATTTAATTGGGTTTCATTGTAGTGTAAAGTAAGATCCAATTCTTTGTTTTTGTGAAAGTCAGCTTCAGCACAAAGGTTAATAATTTGATTTAGAAAGTTTAGCCTTGGGAATGGAGCAACAAAAGCCTCAGCAAAGAAAGAACATTAAGCTTTAATTCAACAAAAAGTAAAAAAAAAAAAAAAGGTTGAACTCAGAAAATAGAAAACTGACAAAAGGAAAACAAGAAACTATCCTTCTGGTGACTGGAGTTGTAGAGAGAAGAGATACAAAAGCCAAGAAGCATAACAACAACAACAAAGATGAAGTCAAAAGAAATAAACAAGGTAGCAAATAAAAGAAAAAAGAGAACCAAAGCTATTGGAATGGGAGAAACTCATGGAAAAAGCTGGGCCATGGAAATAAAAGTTTAGTTTGGATATGAAACCTAGCTAAAATAGGAACACAATCTAGCTAAATTAAGTGGGAACATGTGTCCCTGGTTACTATAGTTTCTTGCTTAGAATAATAGAATAAGAGTTGGAAGAGACCCCCTGCCATGTAGGAAAATCACAATCAAAGTATCCCTGACAGATGGCCATCCAGCCTATGTTTAAAAGTTTCCAAGGAAGGAGCTTCCACCACATTCCAAGGCAGAAAGTTCCACTGTTGAACAGCTAACATCATCAGGAAGTTCTTCCTAATGTTCAGGTGTAATCTCCTTTCTTGTCATTTGAACCCATTGCTCCTCGTCTTAGTTTCAAGGGCAGCAGAAAACAAGTCTGCTCTCTCTTCCTTATGACACCCTTTCACATATTTATACATGGCTATCATGTCTCCTCTCAATCTTCTCTTCTGCAGGCTAAATATTCCCAGTTCTTTAAGACACTTTCCATAGGTATTCATGGTCTCCAGATCGTTGATCATTGTTACCCTTCTATGGACTCCTTCCAACTTGTCAATATCTCTTTTGAACAGTAGTGCCCAGAATTGGACCAAAGCAGAATAAAAAGGCAACATGACTTCCCTCAATCTAGACATTATAGTTCTTTTGATATAGCCCAAAATCGCATTGGCCTTTTAGCTGCTGCATCACACCGTTGGCTCATGTTCAACTTGTTGTTCACCAAGTCTCCAAGATCTTTCTTACATGGATTTTTGTCGAGCCAGACATCACCCAGATTGTATCTTTGTATTTATTTTTTTCTGCCTTACATTTGTCCTTGTTGAAATTCATTTTTTTTATTTTGGTTTAGCTCTCTAACCTGTTAAGGTCATTTTGAATTCTGATCCTGCCCTCTGTAGTATTAGCTATCCTTCGAATTTGGTGTCATTTGCAGACTTGATCAGCATGCCCTCTAAACCTTCATCCATGTCATGAATAGATGTTGAACAGTACTGGGCCCAGGATGGAACCCTGCTTACGGCACTCCACTCATCACTTCTTTCCATCCATTTAAAGGATGGTACTGCCAGTCTGTAACAGTTGGCTACACTTTAAAGCATTTGAATTTCTCACACAATTAATTATGACTACTATTTTTCACCCACTCAAATGTGTGAGAACTTGGTACATAGTGATATATAATCACAAGCAAGTATTTTAAATAACCAAAACCAAAATAGTCTGAATGAGGCCTATGGACAAAAGGTTCTCACCAGTAGAAAAATCAGACACCAGTGAAACAAAATGTGATCTGAAAGTCTTCCAATACTTAGCAACCTGATTTACCTCTTCTGTTTGAACAATTAGCAATATGCATATTGTTAGGGAAGAGAGCTTACCTTGCATCCAAATAGAATTTTATGGCATAAATCCAATTGTTCTCTCCATTGAATTGATGGGTACTAAATCGAAACATATGCTAATTCCACAGATTCACTCATTCCATTCTAGCTGAGACTGACAAATGCATTTTGGTCTAGGAAATTTATGTGGATATAAGAATACAGTCACTAGAGTACTACTCTACAGTTCAGATATGTTGAAGTGTTATAGGGGGCAAATGTGCAATATGTGTATATATAAAGAATTTTTATCATGCACTCCAGACATAAAGGCTCCTATGGTGCATGAGATCAATAGCAAATCAGAGTTTTGCCTGTAGCCTTTTAGAGGCTAGGGAATAAACAGTGCCATCAAAATGAAACAAAACACAGTAAGTACGACATTCACAATTACATCATTAACCACGCAGCCCAGCTGCAGAAGCAAAGATACCCTTTCCTTTCAGTGCATTTGAAGAAATGAACTAGTACCGCCAAAACTCACACTAAAATAAAGCAATCGATGTCAAAGGAGATGCTAGATGACCCCCCCCCCTTTTGTCCCCCTCCCATGTTACATTGAAATGGTTCATCCAAAGAATCTCTTGTTCAGTTTCAACTATCTTACAACTTCTATGAAATATACAAAACCATATTTCATGCTACAGGCAACTCTATTCAAATACAATCAGTCATATTTCATCTACCTCAGCTTCTGCTCTGAGAATAGAAAATCATATAAGGAGGTTCAAGGTTTCAAGATTCACAACTAACAAAATTCTGAATACAAAGGGTCTAATGTCAGAAAGAGACTTTAAAGTATTATCCTCCCTCCCCAGTCATAAAACTGCAAGAGTCTTAATACGAAGTAGGCAGCCTAGTATTTCTTACTGACAGTCCTTACATTCTATATATACATGAAATAACACAAGTAGTTACAAGAGAAGGTAGGTCTGTAGCTTAGTAAAATATCTCTTTTTTCACAACTGGGAAGGAAGAAGCAAGACGTTCCAAAATGAAAGACTGGCTCCAGTCAGGGATTGGTTTGGAGTCTCTTTGGTTTCCTCATCAGAATGCAATCAGTTTCCAGCAGATTACTAGCTGGGGGAAATGGGTTAGTAGTATACTTGCCCAGAACTCATTGATGGCAAGAGGATTGTTTCACAGAGTTTTCTAACAGCAAAAATGAAGGGCTGCATACATATAGTTTTGGATCACACTCTGAACTGAGGATGAAGTTCAGCCTAAACAAAATCTGATTTGCAACCCCTGAACTAGTGCCAAAGTCAAAATTTAAAATATTAAGAATGGTAATTTCCCCAAGGAAAAGGGCATCCACATAAACCTGCAGGACGTTGATATAAATTCACAGGTTTCAATACTTTTTCAAATGTTCAGGGTGTGTTTGAAGAGAATATAGTAATTTATTGTGGTATTCTCTATACCTAACATATTTAGAATCATATTTCACTCTCATATTTCATTCATTTGACAGATGCAAGATGATTGATGCTCTTTCAGCAACAGAACAACTAGTTAACACAGGAAACAAAAGAATATACCTAAAATCTGCGATGACTGGGGCCCTTTTCAGAATGAAATATGCCACTGTTTTTGGTCTATGCTGCATGGCTTTTGATTACTATGTACCATACTATGGACCTCATTACACTACAGAATGAATCCACTTTAAATCTGGTTGCTGCCACCTGCAGAAACTGGATTTAACGTGGATTCATTCTCTAGTGCAGTGGTTCTCAACCTGTGAGTCCCCAGATGTTTTGGCCTTCAACTCCCAAAAAACAGCTGGTAAACTGGCTGGGATTTCTGGGAGTTGTAGGCCAAAACACCTGGGGACCCACAGGTTGAGAACCACTGCTCTAGTGTGATGAAACAGTATGTTTCAATTGTTTTGAACATCAGTGATTGGCTTAGCCTCTTTTATAGTTTTTGATACAATTCCTCTACCAAATTATAACATACAAGAGTAACATTGTACATTTTGGCCTTATTCATTTTAACATAAAAGAGTTAAGCATGTGCTTATACAGGCAGCCCCTGAGTTAGAAACATCAGACTTACGAATAACTCACAGTTAAAAACAGGAGTGAGAGAAATCTACCCCTTGGAAGGGAAATTCCATCCTGAAAGAGTTATCATGGAGGAAAAGTGTCTCCACTGAAGCTTTATCACCAATCCTTGTTTCCAAAACAAGCCATTTTTTTTTCAAAATCCAATTATTACAGAAAGCATGGTGAAATCTTCTGAACAGGGGCAGAGACAGCAAAACAAGCACCACATGGGTATTAGCCCTTCCCTGTGCTATGCAAAGGTAAAACAGATATCTTTCTGGCTGGAGTTACACTTAAAAATGTACCTTTCCGACTTACAAACCAATCCAACGTAAGAACAAGCCTACAGAATCTATCTTGTTCATAACTTGGGGACTGCCTGTAGTAGTAATTCCATACTGGTTCACCTTGAACACTTCCACTGATTTGATCTGTGAGCAGATATGCTGTTGCATTGTACTCTGATTGAAACCAGAGATACTTATTATTGAACTGCCCCACTCTGCAATTCCAAAAATAGAAAATTAAGGCTTACCTAGCTGAGAAATTCTAAGATCTAATACCACAGCTTATTTGGAGTATGCTAAAAATAATTTTCATGTTCTCTAACTTTAGGGAGGGAAAAAAATCTACATCCTTTCACTGTTACAACAACATCCTGAAGAATACAAGTGTTTATGTATGCACTTTATCTTCTCAGAAAATTCTTACCTGCTCTCCTTGCCATTTTGAATGACCGAATGTCTGTCTGTAGTTGCTCTTTCACTACAGACATATGTATTCCGTCGTGTCATTGCTCCAGGCGCAGTATTATTCTACAAGGAAATGGAACATAGGTGTCAATTAGCAGGGTCTATTTCATTATGTACAGTCTGTAACTTAGCTTAAAACACAAATCTTACACACGCTTACTAATAGTCATAACTCTGCTACTGTTCATTACTCAGTAATTGCTCAGTCATAAGAACATCATATCCCCTGGCCTAATACTACCCTTCTATTATGTAGAAACCAAACTTTGAGCTCAAAACTACTTTTTGCAATGTATGTTAAATGTTTATGGCTCATCCATAATAGCAGATTAATCTAATTCAATCATATGTTAAGCAAAAACACGATTTAGAGAGCTAGTGGAGACTGCAAGAAAATGCTAAAAATTGGTATTAACTACACTAAGAAATAAAAAATCTTCAACAGAAAATAATTAAGGCTGAAGAGAGAAAATGTAGTTAAAATAACAAGAAAAAAAACACAAACAAAAAGGGGTAGAAGAGCAGAGGATGACATAACAGAGGAAAAAGTAAGCATAAGCCCACTGTAAAATTGCACTGGGGGGACAGGAGCACAATGAAATTTAAATAATTACTTTGCCTCTGTCTTTATAGAGAAAGAGTGTGGAGATAGGCCCAAGCCACTGATCAATTTTCCAGGAACGACAGAAGAGCTAGCAGATAACAGAATGATTTTTAAAAGTCTGAGAGGCACTGAAAGTAGACAAAGCATATGGTCAAAACAAATAAGATTATCACCTTCCTTATTCAGGAATAAAGAAATTTGGAAAGTTTTGTGATCTCTCTTTTTCCTGAATAGAACAACAAATCAAAAGAAGGATAAATCCCCGTAAGCAACAAGCAACTCCATTACCATTTATTTCCTCACCCACTCTTAACTTGAAACAATCTAAGAATGAGACCTCCAAGTCAATAGAATTTTTTACTGGTAAAGAAGTCTTGGAAGGTATTTTTTCCACTGAAATATGATTAAGTTCTATTCTGAGAAAACACCTTGATAAGAACAGGCTGATTATATGATGACAGACATAGTTTGGGAATACAAACACAGACAGCAGACACCATTTGCAATTACTCTGCAGGAATTTCATGGAAATTTCTTTCCATTAATTTGTTGCTATATCCCTTCACCTTATTTATGACCTATGGAAACCCTAAGGCAAACCTATCGTGGGTTTCTTGGGAAGGCTTCTTAAGGGGGGGGGGGTTACCTTTGCCTTCCTCTGAGGTTGAGAGGGAGTGACTTGTCCAAGGCCACTCTGTGGATTTCCCTGGCTAATCGGAGATTCAAATCCCCCTTAAAAATATTGAGCTTTGGAGTTTTAGTCCGAAAAATTAAAATAACAAATACTAAAGAAAAAGATCTTGAAACCAATGCGCATCAACACTCAAGAAAAGGAAACAAGATGAAATTGAAAAAGGGTAAACAGCATTTAACTCAGTGATTATCAACCTTCCCTAATGTCGCAGTGCCTTAATGCAGTTCCTCATGTTGTGGTGACTCCCAACCATAATGTTATTTTTGTTGCTACTTCAATTTTACTACTGTTATGAATCGTCATGTAAACATCTGATATGCAGGAGGTATTTTCATTCACTGGACCAAATTTAGCACAAATATCAATACACCCAAATTTGAATACTGGTGGGGTGGGGGGGGGGGTAGTTGATTTTGTCATTTGGGAGTTGTAGTTGTTAGGATTTATAATTCACCTACAATCAAAGAGTATTCTGAATTCCACCAATAATGGAAATGAACCAAACTTGGCACACAGAACTCCCATGACCATTAGAAAATACTGGAAGGGTTTGATGGGCATTGAGTTTTGGAGTTGTAGTTCCCCTACATCCAATGAGTACTGTGGACTCAAACAATAATGGATCTGGACCAAGCTTGGCATGAATACTCAATATGCCCAAATGTGAACACTGGTGGAGTTTGGGGGAATTAGCCTTGACATTTGGGACTTGTACTTTCCAGGATTTATAGTTCAGATACAATCAAAGAGTATTCTGAACCCTATCAACAATAGAATTGGGCCAAACTTTCCACACAGAACCCCCATGAGCAGCAGAAAATACTGTGTGACCCCTCTGACACCCACTTGCGAACCCCCTCCCCCCCCAGGGGTCCCAATCCCCAGGTTGACAAACACTGATTTAACTGCTTCTAGGTAGGAAAGTAATTTAAACATGGAAGCCTTTTCTGTTCCTGGCAATATGACACCCGGCAAGCTTGTTATCCTGTCTAAATAAGTAAAAGTCCTTGGAATTCTGCAGCACACAAAACTGTCTTTTTCAAAACTACTTTAAGAGCTAAAACAAAAATTAAATTTACCAAACCAATTTATTGTATTATCAACTGAGCCTGCATAGAGTCTGAAATATACTCAGCTTTCTTTTTCACTCCCTCCTGGAGGGGGAGACTGTAAGATTGGGCCACTGTAGGAGAGACATGAACAACCAATGGGATATTATTCTTAATCTGAATGAGGGAGCTGCCATTTTGTCTACTGCTTCTCTCCCGGTGAGGAGGGAAGAATTAATTGTGAGACAAGAGGCCGGTTCTCCTTCCACTCAAGAGAACAATCCCAAGGGACAGGACAAACCGTAGAAACGTAAGTGACATTAATGTCTGTATTACAATAACTGACACTACCTAAAACAAGAACAGACCGGGTAGCCAGAGGATCTGAAGGCTGCAAATTGGCTGATGAGCTGGAAGAGAAAGTGTGTCTGCTTGCGACTACACTTTAACGTATCTGGGAAGAGGAAACTTTTCAAGAAAAACTTCATGTGCTGTTTCTAGGGAGGAAGACAATTCTCAAACACACAAGATAGACACTTGACTACGGGAACCATGCAGTTGGTTTGGAGCTACACAGATGATTTCAAGCTCTCCCATGAACTAGTGATTACAAATCACAGGATCAAGGATAAAAGCTTCTATCCTTGGAGAACATGGTGATGATCTTGGAAGGTTTTCTACAGCATGGTAGTAACTTTGGAGGACTCTCCCTGCCTCTTCTCAGAGGAAAAAAGAGATCTGCTGGTGGTAAATTATTCCCTGTTGAGAAGAATGGAAGCAGTACTGCATGGAACTTAAAATGCCTTAAGTAAGCTCCATAATAATAAAATAGAGGATACTAGAGAAACTCGAATCCACCAACAATTATTCCTCCCTTCTGATCCCTGTTGGAACAAATAAAAGCGGCTTTGAGTAGGAAGCTGAAAAATCTTGGGGCGCAGACTGCTTTTCTATGTCCTTCCTACTGAAGGACATGGCCTAGGAAGAGAGTGGAGGCCCTTCCACACAGTCCTATATCCCAGAATATCAAGGCAGAAAATCCCACAATATCTGTTTTGAACTGGGTTGAGTCCACACTGCCATATATTCCAGTTCAAAGCAGATAGTGTGGAATTTTCTGCCTTGATATTCTGGGATACAGGGCTGTGTGGCAGGGCCCTGACATACACTGGAAGTGAACAGCTAACATCGGAAATGGTGTTATCAGGAAAGATTTACTATTCATAAAGAAGGACTGCTGGGAAAAGATAGGTTGCACCTCCCAACAACTGGTAAGACCATATGGGCCAGGAGTCTTACTGGGGGGTCCTTCCACACAGCCATATAACCCAGAATATCAAGGCAGAAAAACCCACAATATCTGCTTTCAACTGGGTTATCTGAGTCCTCACTGCCATATATCCCAGTTCAAAGCAGATATTGTGAAATTTTATTTAGCTGTGTGAAAGGACCCTGGGTTGGGGGGGGGGGGCAGAGTATTCTAAAGGGCAGAGGAACATCAAGTTCTGGGGCAAAAATCACAATGTTACAGGAAAATCAAGTTTATTGTATGCAAACTTAAATAGTAATCAACCCCCCACCCCCAAAAAACAAGGAAGGAACTGGGGTGGAGAATGTTTGAACATTTCCTCATATCATACAATGGGGTGGGTAACTTTAGGAAATCCAGGGGGTATTTTTGACCTCGGTGGACCTCATTAATCCATACACCCAACACCCATGCTGGAAAGGTTTCTCCTGAAGATTTGTGAAATAGAATCCCCAGCCACCTTGGGTGGTATTCACCACTAAAGTTTATGAAATCCCCTGGCCTTGTCTGAAACCGAGAAAGGCCCTTTTCGATCTGAAATTATCCCGGGGGGGGGGGGGGGGAGTTTTGCATGGCAAATCATGTCTTCAGTGGATTCTATTTGCTATTTTTCTAAGTTTTTGTCATCACAGGCTGCATAATGATTTGGGTTCCAGTATTAACATAAGCAATTTATGTGTTAAACATAAATTATGAAGCTCTCTGAACTGTGAAGTGTGTGTGTCACCTAGAGTCTAGTTCTAGGAAACAAGCCAACATACCCATAAACAACAATAAGCTAGTATAAACAGTGAATTGACCTATAATGAACCCATGACAAGTGTTATATTAAAGGAGATGATTGAGTTAATCAGATGTCTGACACAATCTGATGAAAGGAAGACAAGGCCCAAGTGTACCTGACATGTTATGTCACCTCTAAGGAAGGAACTCATTGTTTACATAAGTGGGGAACTCTAAACTTATTGGATAAGATCTGTCAGCTAGGAATAATAAAAACTAAGCTGAGAGGAACCCCTGCGGGAGGGATCAACCCAAGAATCAGTCTCCACCATATAAAGAAAGCTGCTGAATAAACAGTAATGCTGTTCCAAGCTGTTCATTGATGAGACAATACTGACAGATGAACCATGCTGGTAAAAGAACCTTTGTTCTCAATTAGGATATCCTAAATAGTTATATCTCTGACTGTAATGAATGCTGCTATATAAATAAATGTCCAGGAATATTAACCCCCTTGGATGTTTGGCTGTCTACAGATGACTGCTGAGAGATTTATAGTTCCTTAGCAGAATATAATATATAATATTATATTCTGTATATAATAAGCAATGTAAAAAACTAACAGAGAGTCTGCTCATTCTCCCACATGAATATACTGAGATTCCAATACTGAAGAATGCTTAAATGGAGTGTTGACTCTTAACAAGGCTTTTAAAGATTTTACTGCTAGTCTCAAATTGGATGACCAGAAGGTGATAAAAGTGAACTCCAGATAGATACATGTTAGCTGACAAATGGCAAAAAAAGTTCCATCCATCACTCCAAAGAAATTGGGTGGAGAACCACACTTATTCAACTTTATGATATATGTGTGCACATATATGGGGGGAACCCAGAGGAACTATAAGCAATCCATCATTCATATCCATCACATGCAGAACCAAAACAAAATATAGGAAGAGTATGGGGATTTTTTAAGGTTTTTGAAAAGAATGGAGGGTTACAGACAGTATAGTTTTAACAATGGCAGAGCTACTACAAATTTCAGCAGCACAGCCTGGGTGGCTACAGGTTAACATAATACAGTGTGTCCTAAATGATAAATTCTAGCATCATAGAAGTACCAAACAAAAGGGTTAGTTCTTCCACCATAAATACAGTAAAAAGGAGCTCATATAATTAGCCAAAAGACAAAGACTACAGAAATATAATGGAGGTGGAAGTAAAATACACAATGGAATATCACAACACTACTTGCATTAATATCTCCCCCCCCCCCCCCCCCCCCAGTAAAGCCTGCTTGAAATAAAGGCCACAGCAGCTTTTTGGTGCTTCCCTGTCCTGCGGTATAGAGAAGAGGAGGGTCATGGTGTTTCTTTTAAGATCTATCTGGGTTAACTAACTTCCACTCTAGTCTGTCCTGGGAGAAGCCTTGGCTCTCTGGCACTTCCCCATTTGGGGCATGGGAGTTGAAAGGATCGAGAGAAGTTGAAAAAAGTTCCTATTCACTCTCTTCTCTCCACTGTCACAGTGGATCTTTGGCTCTTCCCCACTGGAATAGAGAACATGGAAAAGGCCTGGAAAAAAGGGGGGGGGGGGAACGAATCCACACTGATTTCTCCATTACAACAGCAAATCTTTGGCATTCCCCTACCAAGGTGGAGAGAATAGAGGGGCTCAGGGGTTATTTATAGGACTTATCTATAGGTCATTATCAACCTTCATAATTTTGGCTCCAAAACCTGCCCTTGACTTCTACATGAGTGACTTATCCACAAGTATATAGATCCAAAAATTTAATGGTCTACTCACAGTGGGTGCAGCAGAGCTTCTTTTACGGTCAGGAATATCAGCCTTATTTGGATTGCTGGCATTTCCAAGCATGGGGCTAGCAGGCGCAATTCCTCTTCCTCCAGCAGCACTGCTGCTAGATTTTCGTGATTGAGTCCCTTCTTCTTTGAGGTCACTGTCTGCAGTGCTAGTCTGACTTCTTTTTGGATATGCCACTGCTGGAGGGATAGATGGACCAGCTAAAAAAACCAAAACAAAACTGATTACAAAGTACTGTTCGATGCCTTTATCTAAAGCGTAAGACTTTTTTTAAAGCCAGGACATTTAATAATCTCTTACTATAAAGAGAGTGTTCAACACTAAATACTGTAGCATGCATTGGCAAGTACATTTGTGATTCTACAAACAGTAAATACAATCATGGCCACTACATTTATAAAGCTAATTATCTCTTTACACTGTTTGATGTTCAGATATCAAGTTGCTATGATGACCAAAATTATAAACAATGATCTGCTACTTCTCACATACTGAGTTAGGTATGAAGATATTTCTGCAAAAGATGACAACTTTCTGCAAGGCTTTATTTTTCTTAGTACTGAAACAAGTACAAGGTTTTAGCATTTGTTTTCTCACTTCAAACCAATCAAGATGATTTTAAGAGACTGCATAGGAAAAAGTTGACCTTTTTGAGGCTGAGATTAAGCCCTGTGGTGTATTCAGATCAAAAAGAAGGTCAATTTTTACTAGGTCACACTGAGAACCAGCCTGTGTTTTGCTGCTTTGCATAACTAATAGACTTTGTAAAAGCGATGACAATCCCCCAGGAAAGAGGAAGTGAAAAGAAATACTAGTGAACACACAGTTCTCCCAAGTTCTTTTAAACACAGACTGACCTAATAGTCTCAAAAACAAAAAAGGCACACAAAAAGTAGGATTAAGAGAAGGAACTTTTGTGCTTTTTGAAAGAAATCCTCAGAAGTGTTTTCTAGGACAAAAATGAATGCCACAGGGACACACTGCGAAGTAAGCATATCTGATTTAACTAATTAATAAAGTAAGGCAATATATTAGTCATCTAAACTTCTTGATGTGTGATACATTCATTTTTGTGGAGTCATATAACTGATTATGTTTTTCACAAACTGTCTTTAGTTTTTCATTCTGGCAACAACTGTTTCATATGGAATTTACCCTTATTATTTCTTGGCAGCCACCTCAGAATTCAATTAGCAAGTGTAAATACAATAAAATTGGTAAAAACACACTGCAATTTTTTCTCATTTGGAAATTAAGCTGATAAATGAAATAATAAAACTGGGGTAACACCTGATGGAGCAATATATAGTTGATACTCCATACTTGGAATTTTAAAAATAAATTTTCGTATATCTAATATTTCGCTGTTAAAATTTACAGAAATGCCCCCTAATGTACTTATAATTTCCAGATTAGTGAACATTTCAGACATCATTTTTGAATCCAAGAGATGTTGTAACTTAAATTACTCTGAAGACATCTGCTACCACGAGCTAATATAAACTATGTGAGGTTCTATGTGAAGCATACTAAAGATGCCAGTAAGAATGACAGAACAAAAAGTGGAACTTCTTTAGTCTTTAGACAGTGGTCCCCAACCTTTGGGTCTCCAGGTGTTTTGGACTTCAACTTCCAGAAATCCCAGCCAGTTTACCAGCTGTTAGGAACTGTGGGAGCTGAAGTTCAAAACACTAGAGGCCCAAAGGTTGGGCCACTGCTTCAGAACAACCAGAAACCAGAATCAGATCAAATCTATGAAGTGAAGCAGGTTTTTATTTCACTGGAAGGGGAGATCCAACGATAACTTAGAAGAAGTGTTAGAAAGGTCTTTACAGCTCTTATTTTTTTCATAAATAAGATAGGTGCTTTTGTTTGGATTAAGTAAATTCCACACACAGATGTTTGAAAAATATCAACTCGTATAGTTCTCTAAAGGTCAGAATTTGGCACAGTGAAATAGATATCCCTGTCCAGAATCCTCCTGGCAGATTATGGCTGGTGCAACCACAGTGTTGTAAACAGGGCTGTAGACAAGGGGGGGGGGGGTGTTCAGGTTAAAAAAAACCCCGGCTTTACTCATGAATTTTAACTGCTGCTAAGTCTATGAGAAGTAAAAAAGTCTAAGAGAAGCCTATGGCATGGGAGGGATTTGAAGCCCCCCATGAAGGAGACGAGAAATTGATTTAATTAAGTCTATATAAAATATAGAATGAATTGTACTACTTAAATTATTTTGTGTTATGATTCCCTTAAAAATCAACCCCCCCCCCATTTTTTCTGGCTACAGTCCTGGTTGTAAATGTTAGTTGCAGGAGGAAAAAAGCAATGAGTACACTGATTGTGAAGGAAATAAACAGGCAGATGCTATCTTCTATCCCTTACAACCACAGCACCAGAAAAATACAACTACTAGCTTTGTGCACCAACAGGATTCCAGCTTTGGTCAATACTTTGGACCAACAATAAAGTAGTTGGTCTCTAACACCAACCTCAAAGGTTCTATTGACTTGTATACACAAGCTTTATCCTTGGAAGTCTTTTCTTTTGACTCTAGATATTGAGAGATCACCCACACTGTAAATTATAGCAATTTGATACCACTTTAACTGCCATGGCCCCCTTCCTTTGAAATTCTGGGATTTATCATTTGTTGTGGCAATAGTGCTCTCTGACAGAGAAGGGCAAATTTTCACAAAACCAGAAGCCTCAGAATTCCACATTATGTAGTAACCACGGTTAACACAGTATTAAACAGGTGTACTTTTGCATTGTGAATACAGCCTGAGGTTCAATAGATCAGCACATTATTAGCTGTTTCCTCTGAACAAAAGTTCTAAGTCAATGATGATGTCACCTACCATGGTCACTGTACCGTCGTTGCTTCTGGCTGGAAGATATACTTCTCTGTACTTTGTGGTGTGGAGACTGTCCAGTGCTGTTGTTTAGGTCACTACTTGGCCTGACCTTAGCAAGTGAAAGATTGCTGCTAGAGCTTGAGTCACTTGCATCCAACTAAAATATAAGCAGACAGGATAAATGATTGTACTGTCAGTATTCTTGTCCTGGATATGGCAAAACGATAAAGGCAACTCATCGCTTCATGGGTCTAAAGAGCTAATTAACATATCTGACAGAATGCATTTCACCCTTTGCTACTTCTGAAACTTTACAGGTTTGAATGGTAAGATTAATGTGCTAGGGAAATTATTAATATATGAAGGTGAAAGTAAAAGGCATGAGCAAAACAATCAATTACGAAAATGAGGTCATGTGACACATTCTTTCAGATCTGATTCTTTCAAAACATGAAGCAACTGATCATTCTTTGCCCATGAAGCCTTTGGATGAGCAACACAAATGCAGCTGCAGTTTAGTGGAAGATTTGTGAACTATCAACTATCGCAGAACAGTCCTCAGACAATTCAAGTTAAAGAATCTCAGAAGGAAACTATCCTTGAAACCTGAGAAATGTTGCAAATTAAAGGCAGAGACATTATATACCTAGACCGTCTTGACAGTTTGCTGGCCCATTTAGGAAAAAAACAAGTATAAAAATAAAGAGAGGAGGGAATAATGTCTGAATATCATTGTTTTTGCACTGAGAAACAAAACAAAGTGATGTTGCTTGAACTTGAAAATAGTAAAAGAATGATGTACTTTTATTTCTTATGAACTCAATGAAACTTAATCAAACTATAGCTGCAATAATTTGTCAAAAGATCTTTGTACTGCAGTCTTTTCACCACAGTATAAAATATGGCTTCATCTGCACATTACTCACTTAAATGATTCTTGGCCATCAACAAATAACCACAGCAACTTAAATGTCCTTACTGAGCATGCATCACTTTTCTTAAACATATCTACAAGCCATGTTACTGAAGTATCTTGATTGCCTAAATTGAAGAGTATCCAAACTGAGAAAGCCCAGAATAATGTATCTGATACCAAGTATTCCAAAGTAAGTGGACCTATGCAAAGTTTGGGATGCTGTGGATATTTTGCTGTTTTGTAATTATGTCTTAAATTACAAATAGAAAGTGATTTGGGAAACACTGAATACATTTCTGTATACCGCCTTATAGGAGCGGGGCAAAAATATGCAAAATCGATCAATCAGTTGTTTTTGTGGGTGCAAAGACTAAGAGATGGAATCTACAGATTAGATCCAGAATTTTAATCAGCGCATCCAAAACTAAAAATTATTGAAATTAGAGCAATAGTATTTTACAGCTGGAGGGGACAACAGCTATCTACACCAACCTCGCCATACATTAGAACAGATAATAATAAAATAATAAAAACAACTTTATTTATATAGCATCCTATCTCCCAAAAGGGACTCAGGGTGATTTCCAACAAATAAGGCAAAACGTTCAATTGCCAGGAAGAAAATCAGACAGACAGCTTAAAATAAAAGACCATAAAACACAAAAATCCTAACAAAACACAACAATAAAAATTTAAACCAACTTCAATTATAACTCTATCAGACAAAGTTCAACAAAAACCAATAGCCAGGACTACAAAATGGGCATGGTCAACTATAAAAGGGCTGGGCAAGGGATAGTGCAAACAGCGTATCACAGGGCTGGGGAAGTGGAGAACGTGCAGAACAGAGTACTAACTGAAGAACTATGGACAGGGCCTAGGGACAAATCATTCTCAAAAACCTGCTGGAGAATCCAGGTTTTCAGGTCCCTATGAAAGATGGACAGTGTGGGGGCTTGCCTAATCTTCTTGGGAAGGGTGTTCCAAAGTCGGGGGGCCACCACCGAGAGGGTACTCTCCCTCGTCCCCACCAACCGGGCTTGTGATGGTGGCGGAAGCAAGAGGAGGGCCTCCTCAGCAGATCTCAAAGCCCGCGGCGTTTCATAGGGAAAGATGCAATCACAAAGACATACAGGACTTTGTAGATCATAACTTGCACATTGAATTACGACTGGAAACTTATTGGCAGCCAGTGGAGCTGCTTTAATAGAAGTATCATGCTCTCCCTAGAATTAGCTCCAATTAGAAGCCTGGCCACCAACCTTTGTACCAATTATGGTTTCCGGGCAGTCTTCAATGGCAGCCTCACGTAGAGTGCATTGCAATAATCCAATCTGGATGTAACCAAGGCATGGACCAGCATGGCCATGTCTGGCTTCTTGAGGTACAGCCACACCCAGCACACAAGCTTCAACTGTGTGAAGGTCCCCCCGGCCACCGCCGACACCTGGGCATCAAGGGTCAGTGCTGAATCCAAGAGGAACCCCAACTGCAAACCTGTGTCCTCAGAGGGAGTGTAACCCCGTCAAGCACAGGTTGCCACCTTATACCCTGATCGGCCTCACGACTGACTAGAAGGACCTCTGTCTTGTCTAGATTAAGCTTCAGCTTGTTAGCCCTCATCCAATCCATCATGGCTGCCTGGCACTGGTTCACGATCCAGGAGGCTTCCTTGGAATTTGGTGGAAAGGATTAGGATTTAGTGTCATCTGAATACACATGGCACCAAACTCCAAAACTCCAGATGACCTCACCCGGTGGTTTCATGAAGATGTTGAAAAGTATGGGAGATAGAATGGACCCTTGCGGGATCTCACAGGTCAATGGTCAGGAGTCCGAGCAGGTATCCCCCAACTTCACCAAATGGGTGTGATCTTCTAGGAAGGAGGGGAGTCACAGCAAAGCAATGTCCCCAAGACCCATTCCAGAGAGCAGCCCCAGAAGGGTAATATGTCAACGGTATCAAAAGCCGCTGAGATGCCCAAGAGTACCAACAAGGACACACTTCCCCTGTCTAGCTCTCTGCTGAGGTTATTTACCAAAGCTGTCTCCATACTGTAGCCAGGCCTAAAACAGACTGCGACAGATAATCGGTATCATCCAAGAATCCCTGGAGCTGAGAGGCCATCGCTGTATGAAGAACAATCATCTAGCCTCTATTTACGAACCTCCAACACTATCTGGAGCAGTCTACTCCTCTGTTGAATACCTCCTACTGTCAGTATGTTCTGTAGGCACAAGTCCTTTGGATGTTCATACACTAGCAATATGGGAAACTCACAATCAGGATGTAAATGCAATTCTACCTCCCCACTCACATTTCCACGAGTTAACACAAATATCGCTGGCATATTGCCCAGACTGAGACCTTGAAAAGCCAAAATTAACATAGAGTACTTTATGCATTTTACTCACCTCTGATGATTTCCTTCCTAGTAGCAAATACGTAGCAGTGATTTCATCATATTTCATTTTACTAAGAGATTCCTGTATTTCTTCTTGGGAATATCCCATTCCAACCATAATATCTAAAACAGATACAAAGATTCAAACGCTACTTTATGAGATTACTACATAAAGTTGATGCTTGTGTCCCAATAAAATTTAGCAACACAATAAAATACAACTTCTTGGCATGGGACAAAATGTGAATGCCAAACTTCTATCTTAATTTGTAACATTAAGTGGTTACCAATACATTGCGGATCACTGTGACAATACTGTTATTATACCAATGATTTTCCACAACACACACAATTGGCATTATGCCAATAATCTCCAATCAACTCATACCTATTCTCTTCTGGTCCGAGATGTCTAGCTCTGGTTCAACAAATGGTTTAAGTTCATCATCCTCATGCCCTGCATTGATCCATCTGTCCTTCATGATTTGCTGCAAAGACAAATTTTGATGTTACTATAGCAGTAGTGAAATTAAAAAAACCCTGTTAAATCCAAGTCACTGACAGTGAAGAAATCTGACTTAATCAAAAAGAAGTTCTCTACTCCAACCTCATATTGTCTTCATTTCACAGAAACCAACATAAGATGATGATTCTGCTACAATACCTCATGTCTTAAAAGAAAATAGTTGCATCTTCATAGTAAATTGGCTTGAAAAAGGCAGTTTCCGGTTAACTACTTGCCCCAAAAAGGTTTTTAAAGAAGCAAAAACACAGCCATACAACTCTCCAATGTGTTTTAGAACCAAAGTTCCAGTGTTTGGAATCTAGGTTATCGAGAAAATACTGTCTTTTTTGTTGTTGTTGGTATGATTTTGGCTCTATAAAAACATTTACTTAGTTCAGTTTTCATTAAGACAAAGAGCACCCTCTAGGTGGAGCACAACACCTTTCATAACAAATCAGAGCAATCATGAATTGCTGCAATATACTAATTTATGTCCAACTTCTTAACAGAATAATGGATTTAATTAACACAATGCAATTCAGTATTTGTATGAATTCATCCATAAGATCAACAGTAATTTGTGTGGAGTCTGTATGAGGGTTAGAGCAAGTGATTTTTTTAATCTACTGCAGAAGAGTATTTCGGCAAAAATGGAAGATTTTTTCAATTAATTTCCAAATATAGTATTTCTTGTTACTGAAAGAAATTTTAACTTCAACTTCAGTAAAACAAATTCAGAGAAAACAAAAAAATTAAATTACCTCAAGAGTGCCTCTTTTGGTTGGGTTTAGCACCAGGAAACGTTTTAGCAGGTTTTCACAGTCTGTTGACATGTAGAAAGGAATCCTGTATTTTCCTCTCAGCACTCTCTCTCTCAGTTCCTTAAATCACATTGAACAAATAATAGAAGGTAACAGCTGCAGATGTGTCCAATATATAGTTACTTTTAAAAGTATGCTACAAGGTCCTCCTATGACCTTTTAAACATAAATTAGACACATACCTTTAGATTTTGCCCATCGAAAGGCAAAGATCCGCTCACAAGAGTATAAAGAATAACACCTAAACTCCAAACATCTACTTCAGGGCCATCATACTTCTTGCCTTGGAAGAGCTCTGGAGCAGCATAAGGAGGGCTGCCACAAAATGTGTCCAGTTTATTTCCAACTGTAAACTCGTTGCTAAAACCAAAATCGGCTATTTTAATGTTCATATCTGCGTCAAGCAAAAGATTTTCAGCCTAAATGGGAAAATATGTAATAAGACATAAATACTCTACCCTCATTTTTTTTCAAAAAATATTTCCATATTTCAAACATTTCAAAATCCAATGTGTAGTGACATTAAGTTTTATTAAGTGATAACATTTAGCTGGCAAAGGAATTTCATAGACCAGGGTTCTGAACCAGTGGGTCCCCTGGTGTTTTGGCCTACAACTCCCAGAAATCCCAGCCAGTTTACCAGCTTTTAGGATATCTGGGAGTTGAAAGCCAAAACATCTGGGGACCCACAGGTTGAGAACCACTGTCATTTACTTTATTGCTGTACAACATATATTACAGAATTTCTTCAATTGCAAGACACCAGCAATTGTAGGATGCATCCTAATTTCAGTACCACCACCACCAACAAAAAATACTTAAGATATGCCTTTGATTCTAAGATGCATCCCATTTTTAAAGATGTTCATACAGGAAAAAATGTGTCTTAGAACTGAAAAACTACAGTATATGGCAGGCATGGGCAAACTTCGACCCTCCAGGTGATTGGGACTTCAACTCCCACAATTCCTAACAGCCTACCGGCTGTTGGTATATAGTCACTAATTCTCTCTGCCTCTATCTTTAGTCAATTGGTTGTTTATATGAACTGTAGAACAGTCAGGTTTCTAACGTCTTTTTCCTAATGACTTAAAAATATTTTGTATGTGCCAGCTTCTACTGCTTATAAAGAAAATTTATCATAATACAGCAAACAGAATTTTCTGGTTTTTCTGAAAGGAGAAATTCATTATAAAATTTATGTAAAATTATCTGGATGGCTGAAACTAGTACTAGCTATGGGAACTAAGGGCCCCTCCACACAGCCCTGTATCTCAGAATATCAAGGCAGAAAATCCCACAATATCTGCTTTGAACTGGGTTATCTGAGTCCATACTCAGATAATTTTCTGCCTTGATATTCTGGGATATAGAGCTGTGTGGAAGGGTCCTAAGGTTCCTGATTAAGGTTTTTAGAAAACTGATAGAAACACTTTTACTATTGTAGTCTGGAAATGGACTACAGTCCTAATATTGCAGTGTCTTTGTCCTAAAGACCGCCAGTGAAGGAATAAGAAACAGGAAGACAATTATTTCTTCCCTCGTACTCCAAACAGCTTCTATAAAACTCAAAGTGAGAAACTGGCAGAAATACTGTGCTGGCTTTGTCTCAGCAATCCCCTTGTGTTGCTGGCAAAACCTGTCCCAACTGAAAGAGTTCATTTATAAACAAAAACTATACCCAGGATTTTTTCATATGTTCTTCTCATCCTGTGTTATAAATATGGTATCTGGCAATGATACATTAGACAGGCATTTTACCCTCGATACTTCAAACAGTAGTTCACATTTATAGGACATCATATTTTATTATTTCAGTAAATAATATGCAAGAATCAATATCTGCCCAAGAGCAGAATAACCTACAGAATAAAATATGAATAAATATGAATAATGCCCATATACAAATTTTTGGTATTTTCTTCTTACCTTGAGATCTCTGTGAACAATATGCTTTTGGTGGCAATACTGCACTGCAGATACTATCTGGATAGAAAACAAGTTTAATTATATAAAGCTGCATATATCAAAGAAAGAGACTTGCAGTCATACATTTCAACAATAGTTGCTAAAACCAGGAAGTAATTATGCAGTCAATATGATGCCCATTACAAGTAAATTGCAAACTTAAACCCTCTTAATTGTGGTTAAGTCCCACTGAAATCAATAAGAATTATTCAATTAAGTACATTTGGGAAAGGAGTCAGAGAGATAAGTGAAGGCAAGTCTATTACTTAGGCTACTGTAGCCTTCAAATACATATTATTATGGTTGTCTGTCTAGTAAACAAGACTTAACAGTCAGACAATATGTGGCAAGAGTGACACATTAACTCTTATGAATATCTTTAAGACCTATCCAGCTTTCAGCAGTTTCCAAGAAGGTAAAGATAGTGTAAACACAGCATTCCTACATCCTTAGCCAAAGAATTGAACTACCCCAATCTGATGTACCGAACAGGTTTTTTTTAAAACCAGGAATAATAAATGTATTAAAAAGCAGTGGGCAAGCCCCAGTCTCACCCTTTGCACTTCCATTATTCTCCTCCCAGGAAGAGTGTCAGGCTGCTAATGTCTATCGCAACTAGAAACTAAATACTGTGTTTTCATAGAAGAGACTGCAAATTTTCTGAGATTTAAAGGCATTACTAGAAATTACTTGTCATAGAATCATAGAGTTGGAAGAGACCTTGTGGGCCATCCAGTACAACCTGAAGAAGCACGAAAAATGCATTCAAAGCACCCCTGACAGATGGCCAACCAGCCTCTGTTTAAAAGCCTCCAAAGAAGAGGTCTCCACCACACTCTGGGGCAGAAAGTTCCACTGCTGAACAGCTCTCACAGTTAGGAAGTTCTTCCTCATGTTCCGGTGGAATCTCCTTTCCTGTAATTTGAAGCCATTGTTCTGCGTCCTAGTTTCCAGAGCAGCAGAAAACAAGCTTGCTTCCCCCTCCCTATGACTTCCCCTCAAATATTTATACATGGCCAGCATGACTCCTCTCAGCCTCCTCTTCTGAAGGCTAAACATGCCCAGCTCTTTAAGCCACTCCTCATAGGGCTTGTTCTCCAGACCCGCAATCATTTTAGTTGCCCCCCTCTGGACACATTCCAGCTTGTCAATATCTCTCTTCAATTGTGGTGCGCAGAATTGGACACAATATTCCAGGCATGGTCTGACCAAGCAAGAATCGAGGGGTAGCATGACTTCCCTGGATCTAGACACTATATTCCTGTTTATGCAAGCCAAAATCCAATTGGTTTTTTTAGTTGCCGCATCACATTGTTAACTCATGTTCACCTTCCTGTCCACAAGGACTCCAAGATCTTTTATACACGTACTGCTGTCAAGCCAGGCATCCCCCATTCTGTATGTTTGCATTTCATTTTTTTCTGCCTAAGTGGAGTATCTTGCATTGGTCCCTGTTGAACTTCATTTTGTTAGTTTTGGCCTATCTCTCTAATCTGTTAAGATCGTTTTGCATTCCGCTCCTGTGTTCTACAGTATTGTTAGTTTGTCTGTTCTGATTCCTGCCCTTCGAAAACATATTGTAGGTTTAAGCTTTGATGAAAGTAAGCTCTTTGTTTTCTGTCTATCCATCCATCCATTTTACAATATCTTGGAAATGAGAAATGATTCCACTACAAGCCACATTTTGTAATTCATGTTTTAAAATAATTTACTGAAATGTGTTTGCAATTTACAAAGCCAATTGTAAATCGTGTAATTAATACTTAAAATTAGCCCATGAAACTGGTGAAAGCAGCTATATTATTATATTATATTATTATATTTATTTATACCCCACTTTATCTCTCCTGCAGGAGACTCAAAGCAGCTTAACATAAAAGCATCAGCATACAATTTAAAATATACCAATATGTAAATATTAAAACAGGATTAAATATACAAAACTATTTTTTAAAATCCAAGTTAAAAATCATTAAGATATATTCAAAAATAAAGAACCACACTGTTAGAATTGTTATTTGAAAACAAAAAAAACCTATTAATTCACACCACATATTCAAAAATGTATGGATGAAGATTAACAATTGCAAATTGATTGCCCTTAGTTTTGCATCATTTCATCATGTAAGAATGGACATATGGATTGATTCTTAAGACTACCACAGCCATAATGTATTTCTGATTACAGTTGTTAATCAGAAATCATGCACTTCCTCTTCTAATCCCACTCCTTCTACAGCACAACATCCACAAGCAACTGTCACTCCAGATAATGATTATGTCACTAGGAAGCACAATTTTCTTGATATATATGGATATACCACAAGTGCATGCAAATTGCAGACATGGCGGTTTAGTCAATTTTGTCATTACTTTCCATCGTCAAAACCCTTTTAATAGAAAACAGTGGTGTTAACTAGAGAAAATATTCAAAAATAGATTATTTAGAAATCTAGAACAGTCCATACATACTTGTCTAAATTTGGCTCTTGCCTCCTTTTCCTTCATTCTTCCATGTGCAACTAGATAGTCAAACACCTCCCCTGTAATTAAGATACGTAAAAGATAAAACAGGGTTTCTTGAATACAGCAGAAGTTAGTTTACTTCTGAACATGTAAGTGGCACTTTCACTGCACCAACAAGTTAGGACAAGAAACACAAAAAAAGGTCTATAAATCTTGAGAATTTAATACACCTAATGCTGATTAAACATAATTTCAAGTAATATGTTCACATTGGAATGAATGTATGAAATAGTTATATGATTCTTTTCTCTTTCCTCCATAGTAGCCCTGAAAGCCTCATCCTCCGACGGCAAGATCTCTCCCTCTAAATTCAGGCCATTCCCTATCACACTTCGTGCAACACAGAACTTGCTGCTCATGAGATTTCTAACTCTTTAGAAAGTGTTTACAGGCCCTACAAAGGGTTGCCAAACTAGCTGTGTGATAATGGCATTCTACTTGAATATCTATCTATCCATCCATCCAACCAAGTATCTATCTAAAAGTGCAACTGAAGGGGAAATCTTGACGTCTTGAGGGACTGTGGCGCAGCTGGCTGGGAATCAGGTGCATTTAGATCACTACTGACCAAAAGATCATGAGTTCGAAGCCAGCCTGGGTCGGAGTGAGCTTCCGACCAATTTGTGTAGCTTGCTGTTGACCTTTGTAGCCTGAAAGACAGTTGCATCTGTCAAGTAGAAAATATAGGTACCGCTTATGTGGGGCGGCTAATTTACGACACCATAAAAATCTCCAACAAGCATGCAGAGAATGAGGAAGCACTTCATCGGTGTCACAAATGGACAGTGAAGCAACAGCTCCCTTGGGGGCCAGAATACCCTTATGAAAAAGCTGGAATGTTAAACAGCCTCTGCGTGTCTATATATGTTGTGTATCTATGGCATTGAATATTTGCCATGTATACATACATTGTAATCCCTGCAGGGTGAGAGGGGTAGAATATAAATATTGTAAATAATAATAATAATAATAATAATAATAATAATGATGATGATGATGATGATGTTATCTCTAGGAGGCAAGCCAGGTGGTGGGCACAATCTTTCTTCTATGCCAATTGCCCCTTTTTCTTTCTATGCTTCTTTAAAAAGGCCTGCCCTAAAGGAATGAAGTCTCCTTTAAGGGAAATTTTGCTTTTTTCTTTGCCAACTTTAATTGTTAAGAACCAATTGGGACGGAATGATGGAGGATACCTTAAACCAGCTGGCTGATGGAAAACAGATGTAATTAATTAGGATATTGTTCTGAACAGCACAGTAGCTACTTGGCTTGAGAATGGTCTAAGAATCTTTACATCTAAGCCTAACGTTGAACCTTGATGCAGACACAGTATTGCATAACCGAACAAAACCTGAGGCCATATTTGTTACTGATTCAAGGGAATCCCAGGAACAGATTGAGGACAGCTTGTTTGGTTTGTATTTCTTTCTTATGCTTTTGTTATCACACCTGCTTTTTTAATAGAATTCTTTCTGGCATAATAACTACTTGATGTGCTTATTCCTTCAGATCCAAAAAAGAACTTTTTTGCCATTGGCAAAACAGAATGCTTGTAGGTATCTTTGATTCACAGAGGCTCCTACATGACTTCATGGATTTGGACCAACCTGGTACACATACCTTTCATGATCCAGCAAAAATACTGGAAGGTTTTGGTGGGAATGATAGGGCATAACGAGAATTGTTGTCAAGCCACATTCAGAGTGCCACATAAATCCCACTCAGGATGGATCTGGACCAAGCACCGCACATATACTGACCAAAACAATTTTCAACTCCCTTGGCAATTACAAGTTTGGGAGAAACAGTGAAATGCTATAGTGCGGGATTAAATCTGATTCAAGATCCAACTTGAGGTAATCGGTTTCCTTCTCATCTGCAGTTTCTGACCACTGTTCTCCTAGTCTAATCAGCCAGTTTTCTGTTTTCACTGGGCAATTTTCTACACCACCCACTCCGTTTTAGAGTTTCAATGTTTATTTTATCTATTGCTGTGAATGGATTGAACCATTTTAGCTAAATAAATTTATAGAATCAAAGAATAAATTCACTACTGCAGGTTGGTGAGACACGGCAAGAGTTATGTGTTATCTGCATTCATGTGTGAGAAAGCCATCAAAATTATTCCTTCACTAAAGGCACTACTTGACAGGGAGGGCACCCCCACTGCCTGAAGATTTGTAGCAACTCAATTACTTCCCAAAAGATATTTTTAAAGTCTTGCATCACTTAATGGAATAAGTCATGGGAGCCAATTAAAAATACAAGGTGATGACTACAATCCCAGTACAGCAGAAATTAAATGATTTATATCTAAACAGGCAACCCAAAACAGGAAATTCTCAGGAGATGCCATCAGCGTTATCAGTAGTAGTCCTCTGGCAATTCACCTTTCAGTCTTTCACTGTCATTACTGTGTTTTGTTTCTCAAAGAGCATGTTTTACTTCTTCTGCAGAACAAGGATGGATTAGATAACAGCACATCTATTCACTCACATTTTAATAAACAGCATGTTAATATACAGGCTTGTTGCAGAAGGTTAATGTACTATTGAAAAGCACATGGATAAGTTCTTATTGACTTCTGAAGTAATTACAGTTGGCCCTCCACATTTGTGGATTTAACTTTTGCAGATCTGATTAAAATGTTCTCTCTAGAAATCTCTAGATTCTCCAGGGCAACTCTGTGGTAAAAAAAGTGTATTTTATTTGTTGTTTTTCCCCTTTTGTGGGAGTCCTGTTTCTAATGTCCACAAAAGTCAGGAGCCTACTTTAAATAACTTTACACTTATAACTGGAAAGAGAGTGCATTTCAGAAACATTCAACACCCATAACAAATTTACTTCAATCTTCACTTAGTAAAGTTTTCCATTTTGTTAAAAACTTTGTTGTACTCACCTCCACTTGCATACTCCATGATTAAGTAGAGTGTTTTTTCTGTTTCAATGACTTCAAATAATTTAACTGGAAGGAAAAAAAACTAATTTAAGAGATCAGTATCAATTAGGTTACACATTATTTGGTCACCAGCCTTTTTTCCCCACTTGATGTATCTTTTCCTTTTTATAAGTAATATTTTTATTCATAAATTTTTCATTTGATGTTTCAAACTATCACAGTGAATATTGAGCAGAGGCAGGGTAAACATTTACAGGACATGTGTCTTTAAGTTAATCACTTACTGGGAACATATGCATAAAATAGTACAAAGCATGTGGAAGGTCGCATCTTATATAAACTCAAGTGAATTGATTATTTCAGAGGAGAACAATATGCATGTACTCCTTCCTAGTCTTTTAAATTCTGTCACAGCAACAATAGGGAGCATGTTTGCTTTACAACCAAGATATTTTGATGCCGAAAAGCAGCTGAAAAAAGAGAACTGTTCCCTTGAAACAAGTTGTTATCCAGCAAAATAATAACCTCCAAAGATAATGTACTTGGAGAACAAAGTATATACTCCCTTTATACCTCCTTGTTTTTAAAAAAAGTTTGATGCTTTAAAAATTGATAGCAAATTAACTTGCATTTGAAGGATTAAGCCAATGAGATTTTGGCCTGCATAAATAGGAGTATAATGTCTAGATCCAGGGATGTCATACTACCCCTCTATTCTTCCTTGGTCACATCACAATCACACTGTGTCCAATTCTGGGCACCACAATTGAAGACAGTTATTTACAAGCTGGAATGTGTCCAGAGAAGGGCAACTAAAATGATCAAGGGTCAGGAGAACAAGTCCTATGAGGAGCGGCTTAAAGAGCTGGCCATGTTTAGCCTGAAGAAGAGAAGGCTGAGAGGAGACATGATGAAGGCCATGTATAAATATGTGAGGGGAACTCATAGGGAGCAAGCTTGTTTTCCGCTGCCCTAGAGACTAGGACAAAGAACAACAGCTTCAAACTACAGGAAAGGAGATTCCACCTGAACATTAAGAAGAACTACCTAAGTGTGAGAGCTGTTCAGAAGTGGAACTCTCTTCCCTGGAGTGTGGTTGGGGCTCCTTCTTTGGAGGTTTTTAAACAGAGGCTGGATGGCCATCTATCGGGATGCTTTGAATGCGATGTTCCTGCTTCTTGGCAGGAGGTTGGACTGGATGGCCCATGAGGTATCTTCCAACTCTATGTTTCCATAATTCTATAATATCTCTTGTTGCCTCCACTACCATGATGGCAAAAGATTCTCCGCTCCAAGAGGACTGAGGGGGATTAACTTCTCAAAACTACTTGAAGTATTTCATTCAAGCTGCTAAGAATTACCACGATCCCATAGACTATGCTGGAAACCAACCACAGTACCACACTGGAGGACCTACAAATTCCTAAGAAAACATCTGTTTTGGAATTTCTAGGTCCTTGAAAGCTGACCACAGAGTTGTGCTGGAAAGCTAGAAATTCCTAAAGAGATGTTCTCTCAGGTTAAAAACAATAGCTCCTAATCCCAGCGAATGAGGGGACTGACTACACTAAAAGCATTTGTTCCCCAATCAATAACAAGGACCACAAACCTTAAGAGTCACTACAGTGGCCATTCACAACACAGACTGAATGATGCCAGAGAAGTATTAGAAGCCTTACTGGAAATAAAACTACAGTGAGCTCTCTGTGTAGCAGCTGCAACTATCTGTGGTATGTTTGGTGATGTAGACGAATGTTGCAATACTGAAACCACTCTCAAAATCAATGGAGCAGGTCTGCTAAGTGGTTTCAGGAAGCATCAATTGATTATATTTTAGGAAACTGACAGAACTCTTCTCTGCTAAGAGCAAAGACAAATGCAGAAACATCCAAGCGAAACCACCCGTTGTATGATTATCAGTGTGAGTTTAATACTCTCTAGTCTACATAAAATAAATACTGCAGTTTTCAATATGAATTACACGAAGAATAAAGCTTTTAAAGTGTACCAGGAACAGTCTCAGAAATGACTAATGAACAAACATATGAACACTAATTTTTATTTTAAGCTCTGATTTGTATGTGTTTCTATCTCATGCAAAGATGTGTTCTGGATTGTGCCTAGACAGAGTAAGATCTCATTATTCCAACAGAAGCCTTGTTTTACATTTTAAAAACAACACTTGCAATTGTTACTCATATTTCAAAGGAAGACTAATATCGAGGTTAGAAAATGGATTAATTGAGCTGTCAACTATATATTCTTAAAAGGAAAAAACTAATAAAGAAAAAGATTCAACTTCTAACCTGAAATTATGGAGAATATGTGTAACCAAAAAAACACTGCACAGAAGTAATAGTCTTGTCAATTATTAAGCCACTCTGTTTTATCAAGGTAGTCACTGCCATTTGATAGAATTCACAAGAGTTCAATTTCTGAGAGGCCGAATAACAAGCGCTTACAACTTCTAAGAGTAATAGCAACATTAACAAAAGAAGGCAGGGAGCACAGCTCAACAGGTACAAGGTTTATAGGCCTGTTTCTGGGGTTATTTGGGGTACTGATTCAGAAAATTGCATTAGATAGACCGCACCACCTCTACGTTCTTAGATATGGTTATCATGATATTCTATAGGTGAGCGGATGAAGACTGGTATATGACATATGTTCTGTATCTCAAGAACTAGAGCTGATGGGGGGAAAACTGGAGCTATTTTTGGAATCAGCAGGTCAAATATACCCAGAAATGAGTCTAACATTCAAGGCATCAAAATGAATATTGGCCAGTGTTATAATCTGTCACTGTGTCTGAAAGGAGGGTTTATGGCAAATGAAGATCAAGTGAACATACACATCAGTTTTTGTTTTAAACCTATAATCTAATAAACATTTTCTTTAAGTAGACAGTCAGCGGAGGAGGCCCAGCTCTTAGTCCCACCTCCATCTCAAGTTTGGTTGGAGGGGGCCTTCTCCGTGATCACTCCTCACCTCTGGAAGTCCCTGCTGAAAGATATAAAAATGACCCCTACCCTCCTCTCCTTTAAAAACCCTTTGAAAATGCATTTATGCACTTTAGTGTATGGAGAGGAGGGGAACTAGCACATCTTAAGTCAATCCCACTGGGACTCTGGCAAATTTACTTGAATATTATAGGCTGCTATGGTACGTTTTAGAATTTATTGATATGTTTTTAGTATTTTCTTATGCATCTTAGTCATTTCAACTCCCCTGGACACTGTATTTTTAGTGTAACTACATCTATTTAAATACTAGTATTTATCATTGTTATTTTATATTATTTCCATATTATTTCTGGTTTCTCTTCGGATCGTATAAATTTTTAGCCTTTTACTAAAGATTTCTCTGTCTTATTTCTATTTTTTAGTAGTTACATTATGTTTTTTTGATTTGTTTGTCTTTGTTGACTATGATATTGAATGTTTGCCTTTTTTGTATGTTCCTCAGGGAGAGAAGGCGGTCTATAAATAAAATTGTTATTGTTACTACTACTACTACTACTACTACTACTATTACTACTACTTCTACTATGTAATAACCAAGCAAGTTCAAAATGTGCCGTAATTTCATTCTGAAGAAATAAATGAATGGCATCATAAAAGCTATTAAAAAACAACAACCAGATTTTCAAAGTGTTTCTACACTCTAAAACTCTTAATGCGGCCGCAGCTGATTAGACTTCAGTCTGAAAGAGCAATTAATTTCTTGTTAGTTAAGATAAGTTACAACTTTTTTCCTTCAATGTTCTCTCCAATGAATAGGTGTCAGAGCTCCTACAAAGTCTATCCAATGAAACAGTTTAGTAGAATCCAAGCTATTTTTGTTGGGAATCCTTGTGGCTATAATAATAACAATAAACTTTATATCCCGCCCCCTTATCCACAAGGACTAGGAGCCACTTGCTTTTGCAAGGACATGCCTAAATTTTAAATTCAGAATGTGCAACACAGCATTAACTTCCTCAAGAATGAAACTGTTTTATCAGTACATTCTTTTTTATACTGTATGCTAGGCATACTTCTTGCACCAAGTATCCTGAATTACTAATACCTTCTGAAACCAGCATTGCAAATGAAAGTATCAATTGTAACTTATTTTTATACTGGATATAATTTTTAGTTGACTTGAATCTTCACAGTACGTGTGATGGAGGCGAGTGGTGAGTATGATGCAAAAGCTGTCAAGAGAAACCTGAGTTGAGTCTGGAGATTAGGAAATGTTGAGTCAGGGAATAGTTGAAGCCCTTATTTAGTAGTCATGGGATTTATTTTATAAGCAACAGAGAATCTTTGGGAGTCAGAGTATCACTCTATTATCTTTCACTATCCCCAACTTTCCACTCTGTTCAGGAAAGGAAAAGAGGACTTTCAAGCTGGTCAGCCTCTTCTACATAGTTTACCTGTAGGAAAATCTGAAACTTTCCATACTGAAGGCATATAATATTAAATATTTATTATCATGTGTCTTCACGATAATAAATGTTTTATGGTGACGACAATGCCATAAGTAACTCTCTAGTGATGGCATGACAGTAGAGGCCAGAGTTAAATCACACTCAATGAGGAAAGGCAGGTGGAATAATAATGAAGAGTTAATGGAGTGGAGACGGCAGGGGCAACGAATAGGTTCTAATGAAGGGTGTCATGGTAAGGAACATCCATGCTTGACACAATTTGGTGTTTAATATAACTGGCTTTAAATGTTTAAATGATGTTTATTTAAGGATAATTTTTAATCTTGCTTGTTTCAAACTCACTGTATAATGTATTGTGTTCTTTATATATATTTTTGGTTTTATACTGGCATTTAATGTTTGCCATTATTATGTTGTGAGCCGCCCTGAGTCCCCCTGGGGAGATAGGGCGGGCTACAAATAAATCATTATTATTTATAAATGAACATATTAACAGTAATTTTAAATTATCTCAGGTTTATCTGTCCAGCAGATTTCTCTGAGACAGCACTAATGAACTTCTTACACTGGTTTTTGTGGGTAATAAAGAAGTATTCATATACATCAGGTTGGCTTCCGACTTCATTAACAGCCGCATTTCCTGTCAAATATCAATTCGCCTCAATTACTTGAGTTATCAGGAGCTTGTGGTATCCTGAGAACTGTTATGATGAGCCTGTTATTCTGCAGTGCAGCAAAACCAGAGGGAGGGACAGTGATTGAGGGCAGTGTTAAGCTACTATACAGATAATCACATGACTGAGTTTCTCTACCAAGCAAGTGCTTGTGACACGCTGAGGACAGGCAGGAACAACATGAGTAGTCTGAATACTACGTTAGAGGATTTTTCCTCCCCTACAAAATACAGTTCATGAAACTACTCAAAGTAACTTCATTCAATTCAGCTTATACATAGATTTTATAGATAATGTTTGAACTGACAAACATGTACATAAACAAAAAATACACATAAATACATATATAAAGAGTTGATTTACCTATATTGGGATGATTTAAAATCTTCATTATCCTTACTTCCCTGAAAAGCTAGAACAAAAGACAATATAGTGATAGTGATTAATAACAAACATGGCCAGCAACTGTATTTTCTTTTAAAAGACTGTAATCACATTTTTAGAATCTTAGAAAACTAAAGCTGTATCAGAAAGGAGTTTAGAGCAAAGAACCTCCCTCAGCCCCTGACACCATGCAAACGGCACTCACTGAAGTCAAAACTATAAGAAGCTAAAGAGATTTCAGAAAGAAATTCAAACAGCTTATGGGTCTTCTTAATCTGGATTCTAGAAATACTTCAGTGCTCCAAGTGCCAAGGGCTGAACATTCCAGCCATAGCTTTAAGTTTTGATAGCTATCCGAAAACTGTCTAGTAATGGGTCAAAATCAAGTGTTTATCTAAAAAAGTTACAAAATGATTTTGTGATCCTGCCAACAAGCCTGCCCAAATATTCAAGAAAGGTAATGGAGGATTTTTCTTGCTGCTAAGATTTTCAGTAGTGAAAACTGAGGCACAAAAACAGAAAAATGGCAGGGTTTGCAGAAAATGTCAATGTGACACATGTTGGAAATGAGCATTTGCATATAGCGCCAGATGTCTGCCTAATGAAGACAACTCCCATCAATGATTCATTTGCTTTCATTCTCTACAAAGACTGCACAATTCCCTCTTTCAACATTCTTATTTAGGTGGTGTTGCAGAGTGGGGAAAAAACTCTGTGTATGTATGTATATGTATGTATGTGTATATATATAGAGGGGGGGGAGAGAGCGCAACTCTGTCTCATATTTTAATTGATATCTTGCCTTTCTTTTATCAAAGAAGTCGACCATTTAATTCAAGGAATCCCCACTGTCTATATATATTTAATAAAATCTAAGTCCATTGTGTGACTCTGCAAGTTAAGCTTGCACCATGCCGGAATACAGATTAGTTACTACTTTAAATTATTATACAAAACAAGGGGAGATTTTTCTATTGATTAGATGATTATAAAATCCAAATCTACTAATTTTACAGGTAACAGAGATACATCAGTGGAATGGGGCACCAATTTTCTGTAAGTCCTTCCTCTCCACTACAATACAATAACCAAATCTTCTCTGAATGGATGACATACTGAAGCAGATTTAAAAGGAGGCAGTGAGCTTGGCAAAGAACAGTTACGGCTAAAAACCACATCCTTTTCTGTGGCGCAACGGGTTAAACCCTTGTGCTGGCAGGACTGCTGACCAAAAGGTCGGCAGTTTGAATCCGGGCAGAGGGTGAACTCCCATCTGTCAGCTCCAGCCTCTCATGCGGGGACATGAGAGAAGCCTCCCACAGGATGATAAAACATCCGGGCCTCCTCTGGGCAACGTCCTTGCAGACGGCCAGTTCTCTCACACCAGAAGTGACTTGCAGTTTCTCAAGTCACACCTGACATGAAAGAAAGCAACTTAATACAATCCATAGAATGCAAACAGTAAGTAAGCCCTGCCCCAACAAATCCTTACACAATATTTGCAGATATAATCCCTCTTTAAAAGCAAACAAAACTTTTATGCAACTAAGAAATGTTTTTCAAGGCATCTGTATCACATATTTCTTTTTTTTAAAAACAACAATCCTGGTGCTCTTTTAAAATGGCCAGGCATATATATTTGATATGCCTTTTCCTTTACTGTGCTTTAGGTGATTTCCTCCTACATTAAATGCATGGTTAACTGCAATGAATATACAAAGCTGAGATGTGTGTTTTTGCTATCAGAATCAAAGACACTTGTATTTGAATGCTAATAAAATACAGCCTGTATATATTGCGTGTGAGTGTGTTTCAGTCGCTGGTAGTATCCCAAGAATACAAATTCTGATTCCAAGGAAGTGCAGTAGTTTTTAATCCTCTTCAAAACAGTGTTTGGCTCTTACATCTTTTTCAAGTGGCCCAACACTCCAGATGGTTGGCATTCCCAAGCATTTTCTTGATTATTTTCTAAAAGCTGTTCTTAATGCAAAAGGAGGAAAGGAATCAAGTAATTTTATTTTATACCAACTACTGTCCTCAGCTATACTAGCACACTATCATTAACTCGCCAGAACAGCAGAAGAGAAAAACATAAGGAGTCAGTATCCAAACAACTACAATAATCACTGCTCAAAATGCTGCATAGTTTCACAGCCCGGAGCTGTTAGTTTGGCAACACTGAATAGTTGAAAGGTGACTGCCAACACAGAAGCTGTGGACTGGATGGATTCCTACATCCTTTTGCCTTTTTCTCCTAAAACCCCACACTCTCAAAGCTGCTTTTTCCCAGGGAAGGATCGTGATTTGCATTAACTACATATCTAAGAGGAAAGGATAGAGATTACAGAAGATATTTATCAGGGTGAAATCTTCCACAATCACTGTTGCCTTTCAGTCATTAAACTGAGTTTCCAAACTTCAATCTGTCATTTGCAGTATAGTTTCAAGTCTGAGAAAGCTAATAACTGTAGTTGTCGTTGTAGAGTCTACGCAGAATATAAAACAGCAAAGGGCACCAGAGATCTTGTGCAGTTCATGTAACAGTGTGGAAGTGTTAGAATACAACGTTGTGGCGAAGAGGTGATTTTCCAAGCCCCTTTTATATAAATTCCTAGTTCAAAAGGGAATTAATTTGATGAAATAGCCAAATTTTCCCAATTTATCCACTGGATGGAAGAGTCAGCATTAACCTGAAACCACTTCTGGATGTGCAGTTCTTTAACTAAGACGCATGCAATATTTAAAATTAATCCACACAGAACAGACAGGAGAATGATAGGAGACTAGGCGATAAAAGAACTGAATTAACACACTTTAAAATCTGAACATCTCCATTAGCGAAGTAATTAACAAACCATCACATGGCATTGAAAAGAATTTTTCCAAATGTGTAGGTCTATTTGAAACTGGAAATCAAGTTTGAAAAGTAAATGGAGAGAGATCCATGTAGAACCACAAAAATGGCCATGGAGATCCAGGCTGGTCAATACGTTCCCTGTTTTAATCTTAAGTGAACTTACCTTCTGTAGACTAGTTGGATTCAGTTGAGTTTTATCAATAATTTTGATTGCAACCTGAAATAAGAAGTAATATTAGTGTTAGATTGAGTTTTGCCAATATTAACATGCTGAGACATTTTTTTTATTGTGAATCACATACTGAAAGCACACTGCAACAAACAAAGCAACAAACCAATGTGAAATCTGAAAATACAATCTGTAGAATTAGAATGTATTACAAAAATATACTTAGTATGAATTTATCACCAAAATCAACTACGGTTGTAACACACCATGTGCCTTACTGCTTAGTCAACTGAAATTGTGAAAAGCTATTATCAGATCAATATCAATATACAGTAGAGTCTCACTTACCCAACATAAATGGGAGGGCAAAATGTTAGATAAGCAAAAATGTTGGATAATAAGGAGGAATCGTAGAATCATAGAGTTGGAAGAGACCTCAGGGGCCATCCAGTTCAACCCCCTGCCAAGAAGCAGGAAAATTGCATTCAAAGCACCCCTGTCAGATGGTCATCCAGCCTCTATTTAAAAGCCTCCAAAGGAGCCTCCACTACTCTCCGGAGGCAGAGAGTTCTACTGCTGAACAGCTCTCACAGTCAGAAAGTTCTTCCTAATGTTCAGATGGAATTTCCTTTCCTGTAGTGTGAAGTCATTGTTCCGGGTCCTAGTCTCCAGAGCAGCCGAAAACAAGCTGCCCCCTCCTTCCTATGACTTCCTCTCACATATTTATACATGGCTATCATGTCTCCTCACAGCCTTCTCTTTTTCAAGCTAAACATGCCCAGCTCTTTAAGCCGCTCCACATTTGTTGTTGTTCAGTCATTTCCAACTCTTCATGACCTCATGGACCAGCCCACGCCAGAGCTCCCCTGTCAGCCGTCACCTCCCCCAGCTCCTTCAGAGTCAAGCCAGTCACTTCAAGGATGCCATCCATCTTGCCCTTAGTCAGCCCCTCTTCCTTTTTCCTTCCATTTTCCCCAGCATAACTGTCTTCTCTAAGCTTTCCTGTCTCCTCATGATGTGGCCAAAGTGCTTCAACTTTGTCTCTAATATCCTTCCCTCCAACAAGCAGTCAGGCTTTATTTCCTGAAGTATGGACTGGTTGGATCTTCTGGCAGTCCAAGGCACTCTCAGAACTCTCCTCCAACACCACAGTTCAAAGCATCCCCTCATAGGACTTATTTAATAAGGAAACGCTCATTAAACATCAAATTACATTATTATTTTACAAATTAAGCACCAAAACATCATGTTTTACAACAAACTGACAGAAAAAGCAGTTCAATACACAGCAACATTATGTAGTAATTACTGTATTTATGAATTTAGCACCAAAATATCGCAATGTATTGAAACAGCTGTGAATCCAAGCGGAAGGCAGACTGCATTGGATAATACAAAACGTTGGATGAGTGAAGGTTGGATAAGAGAGACTCTACTGTAATTGGTGCTCAAGGTCAAACACAAAAATTGTCCACCCCAAATACAGCACATACACAAAAATATATTTCAAACTGGGCAGCAAAATAATAAGGATCATACTAACTTTCCACTAGTGAGGTGTAAAAAAGGGTGTAAATCAACACTAAGTATTATTTTTATGAGCAGGGTTTACAATACACTGTTTCAGTAAGACCCTTTCTTTTTTCTGTCTTATATTCAAGGATGGCCAGATTGTGAGACAGCACATTTGCAAATCTCAATGAACACCTGAACCAATTTATTCAGTAAATTATTTCACATAAAACATTTTTAGTGTCGTCAATTAGCAGTGACAGTTTCTAATTCTTTAAAGAACATTTTAGAAGATAGGTTGCTGTAAGTTTTTCGGGCTGTATGGCCATGTTCCAAAAGCATTCTCTCCTTTTAGAATCTTTTAGGTAGTTTTTTTTTTACTCTATTGAATAAAACACAAAAAAGCTTTATTTTAAAGTTCAAAAGATATGTCATTTTGCAGGACCACCAGACTCTAGCAAAAATATTCATTACATTTCTCCTGCATTGTTTGTCATGCTTTCGCATGCTGAACATTTGACATTGGTCAGTAAAGGATACAAGAATGTCAAAGGAATCAAATTCTAAGGATAGTGACAAAATGAAGCAGTGAAGGTCAAATTTAATATGGCTGGTCTATATTTTAAAGTATTTTATGATTCAGCAGGAACGAGACAGGGGGGAAACATTAGAGAACACCTTAAATACAAAAGTGGGTGAAACTGCAATAACATAACTACACTAAAGATCTGGAGCCCTCTAGACTGGTTGTGAGGGTGGAAATTCTGGAAAACAGTGGAAGTCTGACTGTATTTAGCATTGGATGCAAGCCAATTTATTTAGCAGTAACAGACTAAAAATATGAACAATGCTACATTTTTGCCAGTCGACGGCAGAAAGAGTAACAACAATGTGTAATAACCGGTTTTCCTCTCCAAACAGTTCACTAAAATTAGGAGATAATTCACTTTTAAAAGCAGCAGGCAAGATAGACAATCTGTGGAGAGGTTGCTGCCACTGTTTCTTTAATTTAGAATAGTGTTTCCCAAACCCTGGCCTTCCAAGTGTTCTGGACTTGAACTCCCAGAATCCCTGATCATTGGTTAAGACAGCTGTGGCTTCTGTGGATTGAAGTCCAAAACCCCTAGAGGATTAAAGTGTGGGAATCACTGATCTAGAAGATAAATACAGTTCAACAATAGGACAACTGAAAGAGATTACAGACCCAACACAACAATTCAGGCAGAAACTGTTTCACACGTAGTAAAGGGAAAAGCAAAAGGGGTCTACCAATATCAACCATAAAAGCTGGAATACCCCAGCAAGCAAAAGTCCAAAAGTGGCAGGCTCAAACTCAGAACCTCAATCAATGGCTGATACCAAATGAGAGACTCCCCCCTGGGCACACAGAAAACTGGGCAACTTGGAAGGCACTGAACAGACTGCGCTCTGGCACCACGATATGCAGAGCCAACCTTAAGAAATGGGGCTACAAAGTTTGCCCAAAAACAATTTTCAACACAAATTTCTATGTTTCTATGTTGTCCTAAAAATAACTATTCATTATTATAGTTGGCATTCTGTATTTAGAGATTCTGCTTTCACAGATTCAACTATGCAACAGCTTCAAAAAAAGTCCAAAAAGCAAACTCAGACTTTGCTGTTTTTCTATAAGTGGCATCATTTTACTGTGCAATTGTATATAATGGGACTTTAATATTCAGGGATTTTGGTATTCATGCGGGGTCCTGGAAGCAAATTCCACTGGATACCAAAGGCCACTGTACTCTACTGAAGACCATGAATATCGCTGTTGAAGCAACTGAGAGCCCTATTTAGTCCTGCATTCTATTCGAAGAGTAGCCAACCACATGCCTCTGGTAAGTTTAAAAGGACAGGAGGGTAACAGCCCTCTCCCACTACAAACCATTTTTTTCATGTATACATTTTTCCAGATGGGGTGACTAGTTTTCTTTATGTAGTCTCACCGTGGATTCGTACAAAGACACTGTAAGACCAACACTTCCATTTTTTTCCATCTTACTTTCTAGTCCCCATTGGGAAGGTGATGGTGGGGTATTAATCAAGTTTATTTCTTTCTTTATTTATTTATTATTATTAGTAGTAGTACTAGCAGTAGTAGTAGATGCTGGGGAAAATGCAAGGAAAAAGGAAGAGGGGCAGACCAAGGGCAAGATGGATGGATGGCATCCTTGAAGTGACTGGCTTGACTCTGAAGGAGCTGGGGGAGGTGACGGCCGACAGGGAGCTCTGGCGTGGGCTGGTCCATGAGGTCACGAAGAGTCGGAAACGACTGAATGAATGAACAACAACAAGTAGCTTCCACCTTTCCATAGCTACTCCCTCAACAATACAAGCTTGTGAAATGGGAGCATTCTGCATAGGATTGTTGTAAGAAACGGGATAAGGCAATAAGGTGGTTGTTTTGGAAACTTGTGTGTGATTTTGTATGGGTGTGTGTTTTGGACCATGTGCTCTGTCTGATGACATGGTCTAAGAGAATCGGCTTCTGATGAGAAGTGTGTGGTGATAGGCAAAAAAATCATTGACTTGGTTGAGGGCGGAATTACGAATCACTAGCTCTCTAGATCTGCTGCTTCAGGCCCTGCAGATTGGAAGGAGCATATGAAATGGAAAACGTGGGCAGCCAAGAGTGGTGTGATAGTGCTTTATAAGACAGCTCAACATAGACAATGAGGGAGCTGCTGCAGTGACTTCCAACACCTTTGCTATATTTGTTTTCCTTCATGTGCACATGGGAAGCTATAGTTGCAGCAAATGCAAGCTGAATGTCACAGTCCAACAATCTGAGGCCCACATACTTACACTTCATTCTATCAGGAGAGTGACTTTTTTGATAGAAATGGGTAGTTTCTCCTGACACCTTCTATGAAAACTAGAGGATGCTTCTAGAGAGCAGGGGAATTACAAAATGCAAGAGGCAGACACATGGGAAAAACATGATATACAGAAATAGAATTATAGGAACCATTCTCTGAGTATAGAGCTATAAAGCTGATTCCAAGGCCTCCCCTTAATAAGAAATCATGAAGCTGAAAGAAATAAAAGCAGTTATCTCAAGGGGAGAAAATATTCATGTTCCACCAACTACCACATTTACTTGAATCTAATGCTATTTTTTTCTTTTTTGACTAAATTACCTTGCTAAAATTGGGGTGCGCATTAGATTTGCATCATATAGTAATGTTAGTGCTGAGCCAAAGCAAAAGGGGAAAGTGCTTCAGGAGCTGCACCTGGAGCTCCTATTTGAGGGACATCATCTCTAATTCAATGCTATGCTCAATGCTATACAATCCTGGGATTTGTAGTTTGGTGAGCCATCAGTATTCTTTGGCAGACAAGGCTCAAAATCTTGTAAAAACTCCAGCACCCAGGATTCCATAGCACTGAATCAAGGCAATTAAAGTGGGTTTATTCTACAGCACAATGAAGAGGTATAGTAGTAGTAGGAGATTTCAAGCACTCTGATAATTACAGAAATCAAATTATACCAAGAATTTCAGGTATAGCAATTTCTTCACTTGGCCTTCTGCCAATATCATTGTGTAGAACAGTGTTTCTAAAACTCTGCTCTTCCAGATATTTTGGATTCTGACTCGCACAATTCGTAATTGCTAGTAAGCTGGCTGGGATTTCTAGGAGCTTAAGTACAAAACACCTGGAGGAGCAGAGTTTGAGAAACACTGGTCTAGAAGATGGAAGAACTAACATTGTCTAGGCCACACTTTACCAGAATGTCTGAAAGAATATCTGGGGGTGGGAGGTATAAGATGAATCTTGGCTTCCATACCGGGGGATAAATAAATAAGCAATAAAGGGAACAACTATGTTGACTCTGATCCTAACCAAAAGAAAATAACTTGTTAATGAACTGGTAGCATGGTAGTGATCATGTTCTCCTGCAATTTGTCTTACAGAGGTGGAAAGATGTCCAAAAAAAATTGGATACGCACTCCAGACTTCAAGAATTTTCTGTAAACTTGAGGGAATACTAGATGAGATCCCATGGCCAGAAATGCTCAAAGGGAAGGAAGTAAACATCTTTAAAAAGTGAAATACTAAAGGTACAATTGTAGAGATCGAAGTTTGGTACAGTAGGAAAATAGTGCACATGTAGTGTATCTTGGTTTCAGTATCTCTCTATTAATTTTCTCCACACTACATCTACATAAATAAAAATGTAATGTTAGTTTGTGGGATTAACATAACTCAAAAACCACTGGACGAATTAACACCAAATTTGGTCACAATACACCTATCAGACCAATGAATGACCATCACTCATAAAAACACTGAAAAACACAGCGGAAGGGACTTAAAAAGCCAAAAAAAAAGCAAAGAGATGCTACAGTACATGCACAAAAAATACTCCCCCGGCAAAAAAACCCCAGACACAATAGCATATCCACACTCTGTTCTGGATTAAGCTCCCAGCATCCCCTAGACCAGGCCCTTTGGAGGATGATCCAAATGCACTGCTTCCAAGATGCAAGTTTTTTTTTCTCCTTGGATTTCTTTGAGAGCATCCTAATCCCTGCATATTTCCAATTTCCTATTCCTGGACTGCAACTCCCAGCAATCCTCCAAATAGATTAGAGATAGGTAGGTAGGTAGGTCGATCAGGAGGACTGCTGGGAGTTGCAGTCCAAGAATAGGTAGAGAAGGAAGAATGGGGAGAAAGTGGAAGAGAAAGAAAAGGGGGGGGGAGAAGGGAAGAGAAGGAAGGAAGGAGAGAAGAAAAAAAGGGAAGGAAGGAGAGAAAGAAAGAAGGAAAGAGGGAGGGAGGGAAGGTTGGCCACATCAACACATGGCGGGTACAGCTAGTAGTTTTATAAACCTCTAACACTGTCTTCCTTGCTTGTCCTATAGCTAAATCCACCTGTATATGCCAGATACGGAGGTTTTAACAGATCAAAGCTTTTAAAATGTTTTGTATGGCATACGTAAGACTTTCTGCCTGTAGATTATGACAATATTGTATTTCCTCTTCTCCTGTTATTGGTATGCCTCAATCAATCGGCTTTAAAATACCCCACCCTGGGCAATAAGCCTCTTCCCCTTGATTCAACTCTCTACAATGTGTTCAACACAGACAATCTCCCCACAGAGCAATGCCAGCTCATCCTCAAAATGACAACACAATAGGACAAGATGCAACCTCCTTCTGTTACTCAGCAGATGAACAGAAGCTTTATCACCTTCAGACTGGATTAACTGTAACATATGGGTGGGGTGGGAGAAAATGCAAAGCTACTCAGAAACATCAGCTGGTTTAAGACAGCTGTCTCTTTCCAAAGAGTTGCTTTTACCTTATAAGTAATGTTATAACACTTACATGTGATAGGTGCCATGTTCTACTATGTTTCTAGGTGCTTTTAATACTAGAAATCATGGAATAGTTTTAACTGTGAAATCAAAGACCACCAGTCTAGTAGGTTCAATACATTATTCCTAATTCTTTGGTGATGAAACCAGGATGTTTGTTCTGCTATTCTGGAATGAAACAGGCACTTCTTGAACTTCACAGGAGATTAGTTCACTGATCTACTCCTGCAGGAACATATGCCACAAAGGCCAAGGCATAGCCTTTTTATGTGTAAAACGACAAATATATGAACCAAGAGTATAATGAGCAGTTAAGCTCATAAGCAATTATCATCATCATCTTCTGCTAAGATAAACCAAGTACAACCAAGTACATTTGACAAAAACCATATATACAAAATGTGTGTGTATCAGGTGTGTGTGTGTGTGGGGGGGTGTAGCAGTAATCAGTACTCTTTAAGCACCTACCACACCAATATTAATAACAAATTACACACTAAGAAGTAGCAAAAAACCTTGAAATTAGCAAGTCAGTCATCAAGCTAACTAAATTCTCTTGTTTGAACATCTCTTGTTTTTAAACACTCTCTTTTCAGACAGCTGAGATTTGTCTTTTTACACTGCAAGCTTCTGAGATGCTCATAATATATATGTATTATCTTCATAAATTATGCATATAAATTGACAGGGCACAAACAACTGTCAGAAGGTTGCCAAGTGAGTTTAGAATTCTGTCCAAGCCTACACTATACACAGTCTCCCACCGACCATTATACCACAATGGCTTTCTAGGAAATGTCAACACTAAGCTATATCATCCGTCTGCTGACTGTGAGAGAAACTAAATATAAAGGTACCTATGCACCATGTTAAAATGCGACATAAGCAAAAGGAAATTATGAATTAAGTTATACAAAAGTAATGTGGAGCATCTGTTCATTTAGGCTTCTTTTGCTTTAATCATGCATAGCACAGTTAGGTTAGGAAAAGGAAGGTAGCCTAAATTTCCATTTTGAAGGTCAAAATTGGAAAAGCTGATCCCAACTACATTCAATTTAAGGGGAAAAAACACTATAGCTTAATTAGAACACTACCCCCAGCTGTTCCTGGCACAGGACAGTGGAAAACAAGCCTATATATTTAAAAGTAACTATCCCTAAAGGCACCATATCCTGCCCGATCTTGGAAGCTAAGCAGCCCTAGTTACTACTTGGATGAGTGACTGCTACAAATATCAGGTGCTGAAAGTTATATTTCATCGGAACTGGCGGACACACCTCTGAGAGTTCCTCTATTGAATTCATCCTGATCACATATTTTGATAGGCAACTTGATAGGCACCTAAACACAAAGTCCTACAATACGGCAACTAGTTCCATTGGGTTATTCCAAATTAATTATTGTAGCTCAGTCAAAAAAGGATTGCCAACAGCACTGTGGAGTGGACATTAAAATGGCAAGTGCCTTTTCATGTAAAGATATTAAAGTGATGCACATATGAATAATAAATCCCAATATCACACATGTACCAATGGGGAGAAAGTCTGCAATGACTGACCAAAAAGGTATCCTGGGAGCACAGCTGAATAACAACTGTGGAATTGGTTCACACTAGGAACCCTAGAAAGGGGGTCCAAATAAAATGAGTATAATAATATTTTCATACAATTCTATATTTGGAATATTGTGAAAAGTTTTAAATGTAAAATTGTAGAAAAATGAAAAAAAAACACATAAGGGTTCTGGAGAAGCTCACCTATGAAGAAACATGATCATATCTGAGACTGTTTAGTGTTGAAAGAGGGAAAGGAAAGCCATGGGAAACATCAAGAAAAGCAAGAGTGGTAAGAAAAATGGTTAGAAACTTTTCTCTTGCTCAAAAGCATCCAGTGCTATACAATTAAGCTAAACGATGGGGGATTCAGGACAAAAGGAAGTACACAAGAGCATAGTTATACTAAAATATGTTGATGACAGACAATAAGTTAGTCACTAGACCAGGCTAGAATAACTGTGACCTTGAGGTGTTTTGGATTTCAGCTCCCAGAATTCCTGACCATTGGACAAACTGGCTAGGTTTTCTGGGAGTCTGAGTCCCAAACATCTGAAGTGCCACAGGTTGTGCAGGTCTAGACCAGACAAACTGATGGGGAAAGGTAACAGAAAAATAATCAATGGTTACAACTTGTATTAATTATTTGCTCCCTCCAGGATCAGAGCCAGTTTGCCCCTGATCTCCCGTTCAGTTTGCAAGCTTCTCAGATGTATGACTGGCCACTCTGCAGACAATGCTGCACTAGAAAGGCATCTGGTGTGAGTCAGAAGCCTCTTATGTACCTATTTCCAATAATTATACAAAAAATGATCCAAATTAGTTTCTAACAACATCAACAGAAAGACATAGGCAAATACTGCATATGCTAAATATTATGAGGAATGGGTGTAAAACACTGAATATTTACATGTCAAGAGAAAAAAACCCTGCTTCTAGTATACCTTCCACTTATTACATGAAGGACTATTTATTCTGTGTTGATTTAAAGAAGTTTTGATTTAGACAACTCATCAGAAATGTTTCAATTATTTTTCAGATTCAACCATTACTGATTCTGTATCAGTTTCAAAGACAAAAGAATCCACAATTTTGTTAAACATACACAGAATTATTTTCCTTACTAGAATTCATTACATTAAGGATTTCATTCTGCTAAAACGAAATAATTTCACACTTAGAACCTATTTCAATCCATTTTAGTTTCCAACAGTAGCACCACACTTTACCTCTCTGCCAGTAAGGATGTGTCTTGCCAGCTTCACTTTTGCAAAATTCCCCTTTCCAATTGTTTTAAGAAGTCGGTAGTTCCCAATATGAGGTTGCTCGTCTGTGCAGGAAGCTATAGAATTTCTGCAGCGGGCCCCAGAGCGACTAGTTCGAGAGGAGACTTCCTGCCGTCCTTCACCATGAGAGGTGTGCTGTAATGAAGAAACAAAAGGTACTGAAATAAAATTGCAGTCCAATAAACTAAATAATGGAGTCACAATTAAAACTGATGGAGCAACAATTTAAGACACACAAAGTACTACTTAACGCAATGTTCAATAGACATGGATTTGCTATCGTTATAGAGATGGCTGATGGCTTAGCTTGAAAAAGGGACTAAACAAATTAATAATAAACATGCATTTTTGCTCTGGCAGTTAAATTAAATCTCCACAATGACAGGCTTTGCACCTCTGAACAGTTGCTGGGGGGACAAAGATTAAATGTGGAGACTTCACTACTTATAAGTTTACTAAATCATTTTAATAGCTAAAACTGGGGACAAGATAGGGACTGCATAGACTGCTTCTTAAAGTTTCATTTTAGAAAGTAAAAAGGGGCCCAAAATTCCTAGTGAACTAATTATTACCAAATTCTTGATTTAGTAATTTTGCACTATTATATTCTGTCTTCTTTCATAACCCTTTATATAGCAGTTTTTCTCAAGGTCATCAACATTTCATCAATATTATCCAAAGTCTTCAACAGTAAGAGTTGTAATTCTCATCCCATAAGGAGAGATAATTATTGTGTTTTTGGAATAATATATATGTTAAAATTTGGAGAAAAAAATCTAGGGAACAATCGAGTACAGTGTGAAAACTGGAACTTACTTTTGAAGTACCATGCAAAAGATTGCACTGGTAAGCTTTGCTTTGGTCCACATCTCTAACCAAAACAGAGCCTTAGTGTGCTTAATTTCATTTACTCACATTCACTCCATTACCCTTGTAACTTTCATTTTTCTGTTTCTGTCTGCCCCACTATTCTTGCCTCACTCTTCCACTCACTTCCCTTCAAACTGCCAAAATTTACGTGGCAGCTTCCTTGTGGCAAGGATCTGCTTTTTGTTTATTTTTCTCTGTAATGCAGAGTGTGCTCTGATAGAATCCAATTAATAAAATAGTAACTGACCACTTTTCTACTTTCATCAAACGGCCCTTCTCTAAGAATCCATAAAGCATGTTTCTTAGGATTGCATAATTAACATTTGCAACAACACTGGTTTAATTGTGAACATAATGCTTCCTGAAGCTTCCTAACACTAAACAGGAGTTCACTTCAGGTGTTCAATACCACTATTTTTTTGCCTCAGCTATATAATACTAACAATATAAGATCATCTCATAAATACTATCACAGTTGAAAGAATAAAAAGTAAACATAAACCAAATAATACCAAAATAATAATGTATAATGGAAACCATATATTTGCACAATTGATATAATTGAGAAGTTTAAACAGAAGCCTGGAATTGCTAGACCTCCCTTGACAATGAAAGCTTGATACTGCTCTTTTCAATACTTTTTAAGGAAACACAAATCTCCTCCAAAAATCAGCAGTGTGCCAATCTGAATGTTGCACTAGGACTCCAGGAGGCCAGGGTTCAAATTCGCACCCAGCCATGGAAACCTACTGGGTGACCATAAACAATTCATAAATATTGTCACAGGCAATAGGAAGGCTCCACTCAACAAATGTTGCTGATGATAGGTTCAACTTAGGACTGCCATAAGTTCCACATCACCTGAAGGCACACAACAAAAACCATGACTGCCATGGGTCCAACAGCCATTTTTCTGTCTGTTAAGAACCTCAGTGGGCTCCATACAAAAACAAAATACAGAGAAACAAACACAGAAACACATCTGAAAGTGGCCAGAAATCAACCTCCAATTTTGATCAACTAGGAAAGGTAGGTCAAAACAGCAGAGGAGTTCTACAACTTCCATAAAAAGGAAGATTGGTGCTTCAAGTGATTTCTAGCAAAGGCAATTCAATTTTGGGGAGGGGGAGAAGAGTTTGAAAAGAAACAGCAAAAAAGCTCTAAGTGATCCACATCACCTCATGGATCAATTCTGCCCACGGCTGTTCTATAACAAGGAAAATTATGTACTTCCAATATATACTCGGGATAAGTCAACTTCATGTATAACATGAGGACTGGTTTTCATGGAATCATAGAGTTGGAAGAGACCTCATGGGCCATCCAGTCCAACCCCCTTACAAGAAGCAGGAAAATCCCATTAAAAGCACTCCGACAGATGGACATCCAGTCTCTGTTTAAAGGTCTGTAAAGAAGGAGCCCCCACCACATTCCAAGGCAGAGAGTTCCACCGCTGAACAGCTCTCACAGTTAAGAAGTTTTTCCTCATGTTTAGGTGGAATCTCCTTTCCTATAGTTTGAATTCACTGTTCCACATCCTAGACTCCAGAGCAGCAGAAAACAAGCTTGCTCCCTCTTCCCTATGACTTCCCCTCCCATATTTATACATGGCCCTCATCATTTCTCTTCTCAGCCTTCTCTTCTGCAGGCTAAACATGCCCAGCTCTTTAAGTCACTCCTCATAGGGCTTGTTCTCCAAACCCTTGATCATTCTAGAACTTGTTGACATCTCCTTTAAAATGTGGTACTCAGAATTGGACACAGTATTCCAGGTGTGGTCTGACCAAGGCAGGATAAAGGGGTAGCATGACTTCCCTGGATCTAGACACTATGCTGTTTATGCAGGCCAAAATCCCATTGGCTTTTTTAGTGCCACATCATGTTGGCTCATATTTAACTTGTTGTCCACAAGAACTCCCGAGATCTTTTTCACATGTATTGCTGTTGAGCCAGGCATCCCCTATTCTGTATCTTTGCCTTTCATTTTTTCTGCCTAAGTGGAGTATTTTGCATTTGTATCTGTTGAATTTCATTTTGTTAGTTTTGGCCCCATCTCTCTAACCCAGTGGTTCTCAACCTGTGGGTCCCCAGGTGTTTTGGCCTACAACTCCCAGAAATCCCAGCCAGTTTACCAGCTGTTAGGATTTCTGGGAGTTGAAGGCCAAAAACATCTGGGGACCCCAGGTTGAGAACCACTGCAACCTGTTAAGATTGTTTTGAATTCTGCTCCTATCTTCTGGAGTATTAGCTATCCCTCCCAATTTGGTGTCATCTGCAAACTTGATGATCATGCCTTCTAACCCTTCAGCTGAGTCATTAATAAAGATGGTGAACAGAACCAGGCCTAGGAAGGAACCCTGCAGCACTCCACTTGTCACTTCTTTCCAGGACGAAGAGGACGCACTGGTGAGCACCTGTTTTGGGACCAATATTATTAATTTTTATACACTATAACTTAAGAGTTAAGTCAACGGCCATTCAATGAAGAGGAAAAATGCTACTGCCTCTGAGGGGGAGTTAATCAAGTTGGTGCTTCGTTTAGGTTCTCCCGGGACAGACTAAGCTCTTCCCACTCTACTCAGAGAACAGGATGGGTCTTATTTGATAAATGATAAGGCACAGTTCTTACACTGACCCACAGATAAGTCAACCCAGGCTTTCATGTTAATTTCTGTCTAAAATTTCTAGACATACAACAAGAGTAAACAGAAAAAAATATAGGAAGCACACAATATATGGAAGTAAAATGGCTGATATGAAAAACAACTGAAATACTCATCACACCCCATTAGATTGCTTTAAAAGTGGAAGTGAATGAAGATGGTTTGGGGTTTTGCTTTTTTTGGGGGGGGGGGGGTCAGAAAACTTAACTGGGTCATTTAATAAACACTCTGGTTAAGGTAACTGGGGAAAAACAATCTTGTTGTGATAATATTATATTACAAACATACACCTAAACACATTCACCAAACTGCAACTAAATACTTTTTATGTTATAGTGTCTCATAACGAGTGAACAGTAGCCACCAAGGCAACTGCAGAGGACCTATTTCAGTTCAGTGGCATCTGGTTTCTATTCCCCCCTCCCAAACCGTATCTACTGCGAAAACAGAACAGCCAGCACTTTAAAAAAAATCAGGAAGAATGCTGCAAGGAGATTACTGTAGAGCACCTGAAGTTAAAGAATTCTTTGTAGTGCTTTAAATAGCCTAAATTAGCAGTGATATTCATATTCTAACTCTGCTGTGATTCTTCTAGTTTTTTAGTTTTAGTCTTTAATTTTTCTCCATACACTTCATTCAGTTTTCTTCTCTTATGTCTTCCAATCACAAACCTGGTGTTCAAATGCTACTCCACCTGCTCCCATCCCTTCTACCCCAGTCTTTGCAACATCACTACATCCATGGTTCCTCTACTGAGTAGACTCTGGTTCAAAAGTTTTTCCCCATATATAAGGGTGGTTATTTAAAAAAAAAAATGACAAGAAAACAGTGGGAGTATCTGAGCAAATGAAAAAAAAGCCATGCAATAGCCTAGCATAATGTTGCTTTGTCCCAACTGGAACAGACCTATTAAATCAGTTACTTGATAATGACTCAAAGAAATCCTCTGACTCAAAGGTCTAGTCTAGTAAGGACTAACAACTACATCTAGGCCAAGGTAATATAATAGAATGTAATTGACAGTCTTGATTCAATTGTTTAAATTTATTGTTGAGTTCTGCATCATTCAATATCAAAGGGAGAAGTCACTATAGTACGACCCCTGTACATGTGGGATCTGGAACTGTGGTTCACCTATCCACATCTGGCAAAATATGTCCTATCTAGGATTTTGCTAAATCCTCCAGGCGATTCCATGGTCTGCTTCCCCAGAAGTTAATAAACAGAGCATAGCAAGTCCCTATAATACCTTTCTAGCAATCTCTGTGGCATCTGTATGGCAACTTCCAGCAGAAGTCATTTAATGGAGTTTGCTATTAGCCAGTTTCCTGTTTCCATTGTGAGCTCAGAAAATACCCCCCCCACACACACACACACACACTATTTGTAAGAAGCTAGTGCAGAAGTAAATCCTGAATATATCACTGCACAAAGAAAAAAGTGCATTCAGTGAGTCATCTCTTCCTGGGCTCCTGACCAACTGGCAAGGTAAGAGAACCCAGGTTTTGCTTCTTGAGCTACCTGTTTGAGGGTACCACTGAAGGACAGTAAAAAGCTAATTTAAGATTATATATCATTCATGGGACATGTGGAGATATCATTCTTGTTTTTTCCCCCACAAGAAACCCAATGTATTCTGGGCATTTATAAAGCTCTCAAGAGCGGGAATTATGGAACAGGGTAGCTCACACGGTAAAAAACAGAAAGGCAGCCAGCATTTTAAAATTAAATGGAAGCAGTCAAGACGCCATTCATTTCTATTCAAACCCTTCCTTGCAGAAAACTGATCCAGAATCTGACTCCGAAAAGGTAGGCATTGAGAAGTCAGCAGAATATAAGGAGAATGAAGCAAAGCTGACACACACTGCTTATAAGAACCACTACTGAAAAAGCAAAGAGGGTCACAGAATTTGTGATAGAGTCACTACCTTTCACAGTTAAAAAAACCCCCAAGCCTACAAAAACTAACATGAGGTTAGTGCTTTCGCAATCAACTACAGTGTCAGCAACTGAATAAGATCTTATCTTCAGGAAGGTCAGGAATAAAGTCAGCCAACTCAAGAAATAACTAAATTGGGCAACATATATACACAGAGGAAAGCTATAAATAAGTAATTTTGCAAACAAAATTTATAACCCACCTTTTCACAAAAGCTTTCCCCTACTGAAGTTCCGGCATCCTTTCGCATTAAGAAATAAGCATGATGAGAGCAAGAAAAGAAGAGAAAGATAAACAAAATAAAAACTTGGGCAAGGTGGTAGTGGAATTTTATTAAAGAAATGCTTGTGCTCATTTTCAATATGTAGGCATTGCATGCACAATTACAGCAATAATACATTAAATCAAAAAATTAAATTGCAAACCTTGCGAAGTTTATGGTATTTTACTCTACATAAGCACTAGAAGATGGAAACCCTGACATGAAATTTTATACCCACTGAATATTAATGCTGGTTACAAAATAAAGAGTGTGTAGATTGAGAGGAAGCTGCTTCCTGGGTTTTTATTGTATTCTTCAGGGAAACCATGTAAATACGTATCAACCCAAGAGTGGAATAGGAGTCAAGTATACAGGCTGATCATGATATACTAAACACTGTATTAAACCATATCTAGACTCAGCAATATACAATATTTACTCTTTTATACAATGAAAAACCTTTATGAAAACTCTCTGCAGATTGACTATCTCTAGACTCCATCCATAAACCCAGACAGGCTATTACTATGGTATAATATCCCAGGAGTATATTTTGAAGCAACAGATATCCAAGTACAAGTAGGCATAGTTCATTTTGAATATATCTTATGGACCCACATGACATCCACTCCTGTCCATTGCACAACTTGCTTCTCTAACCACAGCTCAAATGCAAATAGGACAGTAAAGCAGCAACCTATTATGACTGTCTTTTCCAAGTTAGCCACAAATGGGAAATGTCATGTCTAAAAGAAGTATTTTTGAAAAAGCATTCCACAGATTTTACTTTTATTTTGTGATTTTAAAAAATAATAATTCAGGAGTGGCCAATGATGAAAGGCCAGGGGTCTCATTAGCTTCCAAGGAGACTCTGGAAGGAGGTGCACCTGCTGGAAAAAGATGATCCCCAAGCAAGAATGGGGACATTGTCATCATATTTGGGCCACACTTTGCCCAGCCGTTTTAATTAATATACATGAAAGTTAAGCAACCAAAGATGAAACACGTGACATTTAGGAAAAAACTACCAAAACTATTTGCTCTGAACAGCAACCAAGTGAGCTACCATTCCCACTCCTGTTGCTCTGCTGGAGAAAAGGAATACAGCAACATGAAAGATAACTAACTTTCCCTTAATCCTTAAGTTACTATCTAAAACCTGTAGGGTAACAGAAAGCTGCACACAACCACGGTTGAATTAGACCAGTGGTTCTCAACCTTTTTTGACCAGGACCACTTGACCAGATACCACTTTCCAACATTAGTACCAAAAGGGTTACGAATCAGATTTTGGCCACTTTAGATTCAGTTTGGTTATTTGTGGTGATGATTCAGAAAACTGCATCGGATAGACCACATCAGCTCTAGTTTCTGATACAGAACATATGACATACAGTAATCGCCATCTACTTGCCCACAGAAAACCATATTTAATAAGCCTCGGCACTATAAAAGGGTTTCGCGAGACCAGTTACTTTTGTTGCAACGGTGTAGTAATAGTGAGGCCACGGACCATATTTTAGTTCTTGCGGACATATGTTCTGTATCAAAAACTAGAGCTGATGTGGTCTATCCAATACATTTTTCTGAATCAGCACCCCAAATAACCAAACTGTGGTCCATGGACCACAGGTTGGGAACCACTGAATTAGACAGATTATTCTACTGTTTAGATGTAATTTTGCATAATCACAAACCATATGATAGAGTAATCTTTTAAAATCTCTTAATTTACCTGATTATAATAAAGATAATCATACGTCCCATCCCAGGGGAAATGTTTTATATTAATTATATAATATTGAGTATAGAAGCATATTTCATTTTATAAATTGAAAGTACCGCCACACAAGTGATGTACATACAGTTCTTGAACACAAGCAAAGTTTTTTTTTCTATAAAGAAAAAAATAACTCTTTAACAACTCTTCTAAATATTGTAGGCTTTAATTTTTTATTATTTATACACACACCTCGATAGATTTTATTTATTTATTTATTATTTGAACTTATATGCCGCCACTCCCCTGGGGCTCGAAGCAGCTTACAAGAATGGCTAAAATCTAACAAAATTTAAAAGCAATTTAAAACAATTTAAAAACAGCAATATCAAACAGTAAAAGCCTGTCGAAACAGGTATGTCTTAGACAGACAGACAGATAGATTAAACCATGCATCATTCAGTGGGATTATCTTTCTATACAGTAGAGTAACTAAATGACTTGTCCCAGGCTCTCAAAAGTGAAATGACAACCTACAAAAATATTGCTATGGGTGTCCAGGAATTCTACTGATTCAGGTGTAAAGCTGGAAGAGAAATTGGACACAGGCCTTCTGCTCCATACGAAGTAGCCAGCACAAATGTCTCTGCAGTTCTGTCTAGTGACCACGCACGGTTCCCATTACGTCTGCATGTGATAAAGTTCTGAGAGTAATTTCCCGTTATGAGAAAGAGACACCAGGTCATAAAATGTTCAAATCCCTCCCAGTCTGCAATCCTTGGACAACAATCTTTGCTGCTTGGCCTGTATATCAGGGCTTTAAGTTTCATCCTATAATATAACACTCTTAAATTTTAATATGATCAGTTGTGGTATGTAGCATAAGGCCCTTTCAGTAATGATGTATATCAAAGATTCGAAATGTCAAAAAAGCAGGGGGAAAATGTTTCAAGTTTATTATAAATTCATATCCTTATTTATCCGAAACCTATGGACTAGATACACAACCTCCTGTTCTTTGAACAGGTTTTTTGTAATAAAACTGACATCAAAAGCATTCATCCAGTCCAAAAAAAAACCCCTTTCGCCTGAGTGTTTGTAAATAGACAGATGTAATACCATTTTGGGAGGAAATGGGAAACAGATACAAAGGTTTCTAACAAAATAGAATGTCAGACAGGTTCACAAATCTATAAATTGACTGGAAAGATTATGGACAGTTTTAAGTGGCTAATGATTATTATGATGGGGTGAATGCAGTACTCTTTTTAAATATCTTCTGTCCTATCCTTGCCAGTAATCACCTCTCCTAGAGGGAGAAGCTCTCTATCAAATGCCGATTTGATAGACAGCTTCTACCTGAATTCTCTGTCTCTAGAAGGTTTTTGGTTTGGTGCCCTAATTGCCAGTGTTCTAATCACTTGTACTCTTTCTGAAACTCTATCTGAATTTAAGTGGATATGTTTATTCTAATAAGTTGGAGCTGCAGATTTTGTAATACAGTATGATCTCCAAGAATTCGATACTCAGGACATGATCCATGGATTCAACATACAACCTTTCACTTAAGACATGTTCCCAAAAGTATTTTCCCTTGGAAGTGTTTGTGGGCCCCTTTAGGTAGTCCAGTGTGATTCTATGGCATGCTTCCAACCCAAGCATAGTCAAATTATGGGATCAGTTATTAACCATGGTTTCAGGTATCCATGGGAGGATGTGTGTGTGGCAGATATGAAGATCATACTGTGTTAAATAATAACATCTTCTGACAACTGTGGGGTACATTTTTCTCAAGTGGATGTTGTTTTCTTGTCTACATTACATCTGGCCAGACTTAATGATTGTTGGGGAATTGGGGCATGATATTCTTTTGAATCAGAAACTTGATTCCAGATACCTATTGAATCCTACAGGCTAGATACTGGGATGCCCTACATATACAAGTAAAAACCTAATGAGATAGTTACCATCTCTGAATTGGAGAAAAATATTTTTTTCTTATTGTTGTCAAACAACTGGGAGTCATTTATTACAAATCATCCAGCAATCTATCTGCACATTCTGAACTAACCTTTTTCACCAACTTAAGTTGATTTCATCGGGATGACACTTTTGTATGCATACTTTATATAACATTGAATATAACATCTTATTGTTTGCTATTATAAATTTTGTATATATTTTAAAAATTAGGATGATTTCATTATGGGTGACTACTGATAACATTGAATTAAAAATCTATGCTATCTTTGCTTTTTCCATATGAATTAAATTATTTGTTTCAGTCAAAGATTTCCATTAATTAACAATCTCTTCTTCATATGCTTCCATATCCTCGGTATGGGGACAAGTGTACTTCTGTAAACAAAACTGTCTCTAAAAATAGAATCAAGGGAACATATTCTAGACAGACACACACCTTGGGCTACTGCAATCCTTCTCAATGTGACAATAAAACCCACATTTAAAAAAAGACATATTTAAAATGCCAAAACAGTCATCCAGAAGCTTTAAACTGAAGCCATATTATATTTTAAAAGATTTTACAGCACAAACACAATATCTGTGTTCTATGAATAGATTCCCTCTCCTCCCCAATTATGCAGCTTCTATGATGGCTAAACTGATTGGCCACTTTAACCAGGTCATACTTACTAAACAACAATCAGTTTAAAAAGATAACCAGCAGAGCAAGAATAATCGTTACTACAAATAGCTCAATCATCTTGACATATATCCTTATTTTCTTCACATTAAAGATACCCTAAGAATTTTTTTAAGTTTGAGACTAGCTACCTACCTACCGAATTCCAGAACATGAAAATCAGTAGAAAGTTAACAATAGTGACTGGCCAAAAGCTATGGTAGGAAAAGCAACATGTGACTCTTCAGATGCTGTTTGTCTGAAACCCCTGAGTCCTAGCCAGCACAGACAATGGTGAAGAATGATGGGTGGGGCATTTAACAAGATTTGGAGGGTCCCATCTCCCCCATTCCTGGCCTAAAGTATGAAGTTCACTGAGCTAGCAACATGTGAGTTCAACAGAATTCCTCTTATGTGTCAGTGTCACTGTATTTCTCATGGAGGTTTAACCATGTAGGTCAAAGGCAAGCACACATATTCCAAATATAGAATCCCATCTACAGCCAATTTACAGCCAACCTGCAGACAGGAGAAGAGTCACAAAGCTGGCCACCATCATGCCAAGGATCCAGAAATGAGAACAGCTTGTTAAGCTTTGGCAGCCAAAAGACCTTA